GGCGCATCGGTTGAGCGCTGGTTGCGAAGCTGCCTGAAGCCTCCCCCGTGCCGGTTCAATCCCCGGCTGCTCCCCGGCCACCGGAGGAGGGTCCCACATGGCGCGCAGACCTCTCCTGCCGCCCGCTGCTCCCCTCAGCAGTGTACTTCGGTCCTTCTGCCTGCTCTGCTCCCCGCTCTGGCTCTGGTGAATTCTCTCGCCCTCCCGCGCTTCTGGCTGTACCCAGTGCTTGTATAAATAAATAAATAAATCTTCAACAAAAAAATTCATATAGAAGTAAATGTGAAGAATTCAGAATATCAAAACAGTCTTGAAAAAGAAAAGCATTTCAATTTCTGCTCAAAGCTTACTACAAAACTTCAGTAAGGAAAGCAGGATGGTAACTGCATCAGGAAGAGAGGATCAATGGGATAAAGGAGACAGTCCAAGAATAAGTGATCAGCGTCTTCAAGTTGATTGATGACAAGGGTGTCCAGACCATTCAGTGGGGGAATGTAAGCACATAAAAAGAAGCTCAGGGCCTCCACCGTGGCGCAGCAGTTGAGCGCTGGGTTGCGAAGCTGCCTGCGGCCTCTGCGCGCCGGTTCAATCCCCGGCTGCTCCCCGGCCACTGGAGGAGGGTCCCACATGGCGCGCAGACCTCTCTTGCCGCCCGCTGCTCCCCTCAGCAGTGTCCTTCGGTCCTTCTGCCTGCTCTGCTCCCCGCTCTGGCTCTGGTGGGTTCTCTCACCCTCCCTTGCTTCTGACTGTACCCAGTGCTTGTATAAACAAAACAAACAAACAAACAAACAAATAAATAAATAAAACATGCCTCTATTAAAAAAATAAAAAAAAAAATAAATAAATAAATAAATAAAAAGAAGCTCAACTCACAATTCATAGGGGAAAAGCAAATCAAAACCACGCGATATTGGGCCTCCCTGGTGGTGCAAGGGGTTAAGCACCGCGCTATGAAGCAATCCACAGCCTCTGCAGCATGAGTTCGATCCCTGGCCGGCCAGGGAGCAACCTACATGGCGCAGCAGACCTCTCCTGACTCCCTGCTGCTCCCCTCAGCAGTGTATTTCAGTCAGTCTGCCTGTTCTGTTCCCTGCTCTGTCCCTGGTGAATCCTCTCACTCCCCTGCATCCTGGCCTGTACCCCAGCTCTTGATTGCATAAATAAATAAACCTTTCAAAAAAAAAAAAAAAAACGGCTTCCCCTGGTGGCGCAGGCGGTTGAGCGCTGGGCTGCGAAGCTGCCTGCAGCCTCTGCAGCATCGGTTCGATCCCCAGCCCCCAGCAAGGGTCCCACATGGCGTGGCAGACCTCTCCTGTTGCCTGCTGCTCCCCTCAGCAGTGGACTTCATCGGTCTGCCTATTCTGCTCCCCGCTCTGGCTCTGGTGAATTCTCTCACCCTCCCGCGCTTCTGACTGTACCCAGTGCTTGTATAAATAAATAAATTTTTTTTTTTTTTAATAGAGGCATGTTTTATTTATTTATTTGTTTGTTTGTTTGTTTATACAAGCACTGGGTACAGTCAGAAGCGCGGGAGGGTGAGAGAATTCACCAGAGCCAGAGCAGGGAGCAGAGCAGGCAGAAGGACCGAAGCACACTGCTGAGGGGAGCAGCGGGCGGCAGGAGAGGTCTGCGCGCCATGTGGGACCCTCCTCTGGTGGCCGGGGAGCAGCCGGGGATCGAACCGGCGCGGCAGAGGCCGCGGGCAGCTTCGCAACCCAGCGCTCAACCGCTGCGCTACCGGGGAAGCCCATAAATAAATAAATTTTTAACAAAAAAAAACAAAAAGCAACCATGTGATAGCAGTCGTTAGTTTAGGTTAGGATGTCTAAAATAAAAAAGTCGGGCCCCGGCCGCCGGCGAGGGTCCCACAAAAAAAAAAAAAAAGTCAAGTGAGATGATAGCAAGTGTTGGTGAGTTTATGGAAAGTTGGAACCCTGATACACTGCTGCCGGGTATGTGAAATGGTGTAGCCACTATGGAAAGCTGTCTGGCGGTTCCTCAAAAAGCGAAACACAGAATCATCTGACCCAGCAAGTCCATCCCTGGCTGTAGCTGAAGAAAAGAAAATATATGTTCATATAATAACGTATACACACATTTATAGCAGAATTATTCATAGTAACCCCCAAGTGGAAACAACCCAAATGTCCATCAACTCATGAGTGCATAAATGGACTATGATCTATCTAGACAGGGGAATATTATTCAGCCAGAAAAAGGAGCAAAGCCCTGATAAATGTTACAACATGGCTGAGCCTTGAGTATATGTTGCTGAGTGAAAGAAGCCAGGCATAAAAGGTGACACATTGCATGATTCCATTTATATGAAATGCACAGAATTGGTTGCCTAAAACTAGAGGTAGTGAGAAGTGATGAGTGACTGCTACTGGGATGGGGCTTTCTTTTCGGGGTGACAGAAATGTTCTAGAATTAGACAGTGGTGATGGTTGCATAACTGCGGGAATATACTTACAGTGACCAGTGACCGAATACTTAAAGATGATAAATTTTAGGCCACGGGAATTATATCTCAATTAAAAACAAAAGAAAAACATTTTTCAATAATGATCAGGATTTATTTTTTATTTTTTTAAAGATTTATTTATTTATTTTACATAAGAACTGGGGCACAGGTCAGAAGCGCGGGAGGGTGAGAGAATTCACCAGAGCCAGAGTGGGGAGCAGAGGAGCAGAGGGACCTAAGACACTGCTGAGGGGAGCAGCGGACAAGGCAGGAGAGGTCTGTGCGCCATGTGGGGTTCACCCTGGCCGGCAGGGAATCCAACTGGCGCTGCAGAGGCCTTGCACAGCTTCTCAGCACGGCGCTCAACAGCTGCGCCACCCGGGAGGCCCATTAAGATCAGGATTTAATGTGAGGGATGTACACCCTGGTAAAGAGACAACGACATAGAGAGCAGTCCAGAACATTTTCTGAAGGGACAGTGCAGGCTACAGGTGTGTGCATTCTTGCTCCAAGCAAACAGAAGCCTAGTCAGTTAGTAGCTGATGGGGCCAGAATTAGGAGCCGGAGGTGTGTCTCTCAGGAGTGCTCTTCCTAAAGCTTCAAACGCAGCTTTTTTTTTTTTTTTTAAAGGTTTATTTATTGGGCCACCCCGTTGGCGCAATGGGTTGAGCACAGCGCTGTGCAGCTGTCCGCAGCCTCTGCAGCGCCGGTTCAATTCCCGGCCGGCCGGCCATGGAGAATCCCACCCGGCGCAGCAGACCTCTCCTGCTCGCCTGCTGCGCCCCTCAGCAGTGTTTTCAGTCGGTCTGTCTGTTCTGCTCCCTGCTCTGTCTCTGGTGACGCCTCTCACCCTCCTGTGCTTCTGGCCTGTACCCCAGCTCTTGTATAAATAAATAAATCTTAAAAAAGATTTTTTATGCATTCAAGAACTGGGGTGTAAGCCAGAGGCGTGGGGCGGGTGAGAGGCCTCACCAGAGACAGAGTGGGGAGCAGAACAGGCGGATCCACTGAAATCCACTGCTGAGGGGAGCAGCGGGGAGACAGGGGAGTCTGCTGCGCCATGTGGGTCGCTCCGTGGTCAGGGATCCAACTGCGCTGCAGAGGCTGCGGACAGCTTCATAGGTTGCCTCTTCACCCCTTGCTCCACCAAGGAGGCCCTCAACCGCTAGCTTTTGTGGCTCGAGTGCTTACAATCTGGCTGGGCTGAATTAGGACCCACAGAGTGTAAAAATACATATTTGGTTTTGAAAAAAAAAGAATGTCAAAAGGATAAACAGAACGCAAGGTTCCTTAATAATTTCTTTACATGTTACAAGTTGAAATCCTACTGTTCTCGGTTGGTAAACCAGACATTAGGATTCATTTCACCTGTTTCTCGTTCACTTTCTGAGGTGTGGCTGCGGTATTTGGAGCGGGCGCCCGGCCCCTGGGGGCCCGAATCAGCGTGACCGGAGCTGATTTGGGGAATAAAATTTCAGGGAGCACCCTGAGCCGACCAGCCCCGACGGGAGGTGCTGACCTGGGCCCTGGGGGGAAGGCTGGGCGGGCATCGCCCCTCCCGCGGGGGGGGGGCTGGAGCACCCAGGCGGGCCTGGAGAGCTGTGCCCTGTTAAAGCATCGGCAAAGCCGTGCCAGGGAAAACGCCGGCCAAGGACGGGATTCCTGTGTGCCCCGAGGTGGTCTGCTCCTTCAGCCTAACTCCAAGAGACGGCCCCTCCAGACGCGGCGCCGGGCACCCCAAGGACCGACGACGAGGGCGGTTCGGTCGGATCGCAGGGCCGGGCGGGGTGGGAGAAGGCAGGGGAACGCACCCCCCGAGGGCGGGACCCCCGAGTTCTGCCGGCGTCTCCGGGGTCCGCCCCGACGGCGGCCTCAGGAGGTGCCCGCGGCCGTCGGGGCGCGTCCGCGGGGCGGGGGCTCCGGGCCCGTCGGCGCCAGGGAGGCCCCGCAGGGCCGGGAGCCGCCGGGTGCGGGCAGGGACGGGGCTCGTCTGAAGTCAGCGCGCCGCCCGCATGCCGGGGGCGGCCCTGGCGTCTGGACTGCTCCCCGCGCTGGGGGCACCGCCCGCCACCATTTTCTCAGGTAATTTTCCATCCCCGCCCGCGGGTGCGGGCGCGGCTCCTGCGGGCCCGGACGCGGCTCCGGGCGGGGCCGGCGCGGCGGAGGCGGGGCCCCCGCGGGCCCGGGGCGCGCCGGGACCCCCGCCCCCCAAACTTTGCCAAGTTGCCGGGCCGCGGCGCGCCCGGAGGCGCGGGGCGCGGCCGCGGGCGGAGCCGCCCCCTGACGCCGGGCCGCCCCCTCCCGGCCCGGGCCGGCCCCGCTGGCGCGGCCCAAAGTTGGCGGCCGCCCCTGCGCGCCGATGTATGGGCGAGCGGCGGCGGGAGGCCGGGGGGCGGCCATATTTGCCGGCGCGGCCCGCGCCGCCCACAACAAAAAGTGCGCGGGAGCCCGGCGGGCGCTCGCTCGGGCGCTCGGACGCGGGGCCCGCCTCGCCCTCGCCCGGCCTCGCCGCCGCCCCCGCGCGCCCGGCCCCGGCGCCCCCGCGCCCCGCCGCCGCGGGGATGTCGTACAAGCCGAACTTGGCCGCGCACATGCCCGCCGCCTCGCTCAGCGCCGGTGAGTGCGCGCCCCGCGCGCCAAGTTGGGGCCCGGCCCGGCCCGGCCCGGCCCGGCCCGGCCCCGCGCCCGGGGGCCCGCGGCGGGGGGGGGCGGCGGTCCCGGCCCGGGGCAGCGCCGCCGCCATGATCCCGGCGCCCGCGCCGCAAAGTTCGCGGGGCGCCCCGCGCTGCCGGGGCCGCGGGGCCGGGCCGGGCCGGGGCGCGGGCGCCGCCGCGGTCCCCCCAGGCCGGCGGCCGGGCGGCGCGCGGGCGGGCGGGGGCGCTTCTCCGCGGCTCCTTTTTCCTCGCGCGCGGGCGGCTCGGCGAGGGCCCCTGCCGGCGGCGGGAGGGAGCGGCCGGGCCGCCGGGAGCGGGGCGCGGGGCGCCGGCCGCCGGGAGGGAGCCCGGCCGGGGCCCGGGCGGCGGGGGGTGCACGTGGGCCCGGCCTCGCGGGGGTCGGGCCGGGGCGCGGCGCGCGCGGGGGGCGCTTCCCGGCGGGGCGCGGGGCCGCGGGCGCGGGGCCGGGGTCACCGCCGCGCCGGGACCGGGTGGTCGGGGGTGCGCGGCCTGGCGCGCGCCGGAGCCGGGCGGCCGGGATGGGGCGCGCGGGAGGCCCCCCGGGCTCCGGCGTGCGCCGGGCGAAAGAAGTTAAGAGGAGCGGGGGTGCCCGAGCGCCAGGGGCGGGGGTTGGGGCCGTCGTTTGGGCCCCGCACCTGGAACCCCCCAGTGGCTGCTGCTAGAAGCCCCCTTCCCGCAGGGCCGGGGTGGGGGGCCCCACTCCCCACTGCGGCCGCAGCCGGGCGTTCCGGGAAAGTCCCGCACAAGTTGTCAGGCCGTTGTGGGCTGTGCTGGGCGCCTGCTCCCGGGACCCAGGAGCCCTGGGGAGGTGGGGGGGGAATTCGGGGTTCGGCGGTGACCGGCTTTCTCCCCCCACCAGGGTCCGCCTTCCTTGGACACTTGTTTGGAAACAGACTTCCAAAAGCCGGGACGCGGGGCTGGCACAGCCCGGGGGGAGGGGGGTGGCCTTGCAGGTCAGAAATGCCACGCTGGCAGCTGCCCCAGGCGGCAGGCCTGGTCCCCGGAGGCTGACTCCACAGCTCCCCACATGCCAGAGGGCCCCAGAAAAACGCAGTAGATGCCTCGGTATGTTTAACTTCTAGGACACAGATGGGGGGCTGGAAAGGGTTAAGGTTTCAGGTGCTGAGGGGGCGTCCTATTTTCAGGGGTGGCCTCACCCCCAGCAAGCAGGCAAGCTGCCTCCAGATGTTCTCCACTCCCCCGGGTCTGCAGACCTTGCAGTGCCCGGCTTGGCGGCCCAGGTGGGATTTCTCCCGCGGGCAGGGTCTGCCCGCCTGCACCGGGAGAGGATCTCAGGCCTGCCCTGGTGTAGTTAGGCAGGGACCCTAAACTGGGACCATGGGAGACTGGGGTCACAGAGTGACAGGTACCCCCTAGGGTCCCTCAAGCCTGCCCCTGGCCTGGGCTGGCTGGCACCCGTGCGCAGCCTTCCTTCTCTCTCCTGTGGTGAATTTCCGGAGGAGTCCTGAGCCCCCAGATTTCCTGTGTTTGGGGGGCCCACCCTCATCCCGGTGGAACCCTTTGGAGAGCTCCATCTCCCCCTGCCATTTGCATCCAAGATGGACTCTCCGCTGCCGCTCCTCCGGCTTCCTTGTCATCATCCCTCACGCCCTCCAGCCCTGCCTCCTGCTCACGGGTTGCCAAGCCGCGGCCTGGCCGGCGGTGGCAGTGGCGGAGTTAGACAAAGCCCCCGCCTCCCCGCCGGAGAGCCCCCCCCCAGGCGCCCCAAGTGGCGGGAAGGCCGCCAGCTCCCCAGGCCCAGGCCGCTCTTTGTCTGGTGTGGGGGCGGGGAGCTGCGCCTGCCCCAGGAGCTGCTGGCCTCTGCCAGGCCCTCCCTCCGCCCTGGGCCTCCCTGGTCCCCAGCGCACTGTGCATTGTCTGAGATGCGCAGAGACGACCCAGCGCCCGCCCAGTCTGGTCTCTCGGGGCCAGATGCGGTGCCCCTCCAGCCTCCCCGTGTCTGCAGGAGGGAGTGGGCATGAGTGGAACTCAGGGCCCTTCTGCCAACTCTTCTCCACACACCCCTGACAGTGAATAAGTGGCTGGTGCTAGCAGGGAATTGGGGTCACCTGCTGTTACGCTGGTGGGAAAGTCTGCCCTGAGCTGTCGCCGGTTCCCCCTCCAGCCAAAACGGGAGATTGCTCAGCCCTCTCCTTGAGCTCCCGGAACCCCAGCACTATGCACCTGTAGGGTCTAGAGCATCTGCACATCCTATTGGGATTCCTTACCTCGAACAGATGGAGAAACTGAGGCCCAGAGAGGGAAAGGCCTTATCAAAAGTCACACAGCCGGGAGTGGCCCAGCCAAACCGGCTCCTGGTCCGGTCCCTTGTCTGGGGTGAGAAGCAGGTACCAGGAGGTGAGAGACACTGAAAGTGCAACACAGGGAGGCTGGAGGGGCTGGCCTGGCCTGGGCTGCCAGGGAGTTGGAGCCTTCTAGATGCTTCCGGGTGCTGTGCCAGGATGCATGCTGCCTCTCCCTCCCCCGTCTGGCAGTTGGCATCCATGCCTTCCCCGGGCCCCGGAGGGGGCTGTGGCGGGGTTGGAACCCCGGCCTGGGCTGCAGCGCCTGAGCTGCCCAGACCACATGCCTGCCCACATCAGAAGGTCCAGGAAATTGGGGTTTGGCTGACATGGTGAGGGGACTCACTGCCCCAGCCCTGTGTCTGGCCCTGCCCCCTCCCCCCTGCCTCTTTGTGTATGTGGGAGCCATCCAGAGCAGCATGCCTTGGTGCAGGGGCATGGCACCCCCACTTTGGAAGCTCTGGGCAGCACAGGTGGAGCTGAAGCTGGGCTTCCTCCCTGGCCTTCATGCTTGAGCATGAACCTGACCCTCTGGGGAGTCCAGGGCAGGCAGGGGACAGGGACAGATGGGGGGTGGTCACTGACTTCTGTGCTGTGTTCCCGGGGCAACTCCCACCTTCGCTGGTCTCTCCCCAGGGAGGGCTCTGAGGTTCTCGGGGTGCCTTCCAGTTCCCGTAGCCTGAGCTCCCGAACTTCTCCCCTTCCCTGCCCCTCCCCTTGCCTGCCCAGATGAGCAGCTGGTGGGTTTGCCCGGCCTGGCACCAGCTGTCTGTCCCGCAGGCCAAGTCTGCAGAGTCCACCACGTGCGTGAGAGAGAAGGGTTGGTTCTGGGGGCGGCAGGCAGAGGGGAGCCGCCCCTGGGCGGGCGGGAGGACAGGCAGTGGCTGGCTGCAAGGAGGCTAGGTCAGCTCTCCATGGTTACCGCTGCCTGTAACGCCGCAGGATGGCCTTTACCTGCTAATGGCCACTCGGACGCCATGATGGGTGTGCTTGCATCCAGCTGTGGAGCGGGAACCATGCCGTTCCCAGTGAGGACCTCCCCAAGCCTGTCCAGGTGGCTTCCTCTGCTCCCCTTAGCCCGGGCGGGGGGGGGGGGCCCAGCTGAGCCAGGCTCTGGGCCCCAGACCTGGGACTCCCTCTTTGCATTCCATCAGCAGGACCTTGCCCCTCCTCTTTTGGAGTACAGCGCCAGATGCCATAGAATCAGGCTGTCAAGAGTTCTGTCCCTTTTTGGGGAGCCACAACAGGCTCAGAGAGGTTGAGGGGCTTATCTGAGGACACACGGCGAGACCGTGAGGGACTTGAGATTCCAGGCGGGGTGTCTGGGGCACAGTGTGGTCTCAGGTCTTGCAGCCCTCCTGTCTTCCTCACCTGTGGTCTTGGCCTGGGTGTGGACCAGCCCCGGGGCAGCGACGTGGCTGTAGATTATGAACTGCTGGGGTGCAGGACCCAAGAGAAGGGGCCTGGCGAGGATTAGGCTAATAGCAGCAGACTGCAACTGGGTGCCGATCCTGACTGCATGGGTGGGGAGAGGCTCTGTGTGACGAGTGGTGGCCTGTTGGCTATTGATAGGTTTAACCTCAGCCATGCAGGCCGAGTGTCTGGGCCCGGACACGAGCAGAGCAGGCAGCGTTGGCTGCTGGCGACGCCTGAGTCCTGGGCAGGCACACAGCTGCAGGCCGGAGTCCTCGCCTTGGGGACAAGCAGCCAAGGCCTGGCGAGTCCTGACTCTCCCTTGTTGCCCTTAGCTGGGAGTGTCCACCCGCCTTCCACCAGCATGGCCACGTCCTCCCAGTACCGCCAGCTGCTGAGTGACTACGGGCCACCATCTCTAGGCTACACCCAGGTATGGCAGCAGGGGTGAGGTGTGGCGGGAGGGGCTCTGGGGTGACCTGGGTGTGTGCTCCACATGCTGGGAGGGGCATCCGGAAGAGACAGAGAAGTGTTGGGGCGGAGCGTCACCTGAGCCGCCTCTGCCCCAGCGCCCTGATTGCGCTCATGTTCAAGATCCAGGGATCAGAATGGAGGGGTGACAGGTGGCAGGGTGTTCCAGGGGTGACACTGGGAGAGCCACAGGTGACACGGGGGTGCTGTGGGAGAGCCCCAAGGCAGGCGGGAAGCCCCGAGAACTGCTGTTTCTGTTGGGGCCAGCACCCTGCTGTGCCCCTGGTGGGGCGCCTTGCTCCTCCTGCCTGGGACAGAGGGGTGGGGGACCCTGTGCCCTCCATCATGCCACGGCTTGGGGTCCCAGTGAGGAAGAGGAGGACCAGCCGAGTATTGATGGGTCCAGATGTGTTTCACCAGGGCCGGGGCTTCAGAGCCCTGCACTGCACCTGCTTTCTACCTGGCTCCCCACTTGGGTGGACAGGAAACCGTGACCCCCACGTGGCCGCCTTGCTGAGACCCGGTTCCCTCCTGCCGGGTGGGGTTGATGCCTGCAGGCCCCCCAGTGGGCCTGTCGCTGACTCTGCAGGGGTGCGTGGCCCGAGCGACCCCAGTCCCGGGGCCAGCTGCCCGGTTCCCTCCCACGCTGGAACCCGGCCTCGGAACCTGGCCATCTTCCGAGGTTGCCCGGGAGGCGCTGGGTTGAGGCGGCGCCGGCCATGGCCCGCCGGGCGGTGCTGGGCCCGGAGGAGAGGCAGGCGCGGGCCCGGGAGCGGGACGGCCCGCAGAAGCGGCGGCGGCGGGAGGACGGGCGGAGGCGCGGCCTGGAGAGACAGCGCAATGCCCTGGCCACGCGGCGGCGGGAGGCGGGCAGGGAGGACCGCGAGGCCGAGAGGCGGTGCCGGGGGGATGTGGAGGAGCTGGGCCAGGAGCCGAGGGCCCGGGAGGCCAAGCAGCAGAGGCGGCGGCAAAGGCGGGAGAAGCAGGCGAGGGCTTTGGAGAGGGCACCGGGGCCGTGCGGAGGGCAGCGCCAGCAGCCGGAGGCGGAGTTGCGGGCACGGGCCCTCTGAGCAGAGCCCCCTGGCCTGCGTGGGGGCTGGAGAGGGGGCTGTGGGGCTCCTGCCGGTGGGGACACCAGGCTGGGGCTTGGCTGTCCCGCTGCCTTCCCCCGTCCTGCGCCTCGTCTGCCCCCGCAGCCCGGGAGTGTTTCGTCTGCTGGGCCCGAGAACATCCGTGGTGGCGCTTTCTCGTCAGGACAGGGGTGTCGTCTTGTCCTTGGAGAGGATGAAAGCTCCCGGCGGCGTGGGCGGCTTCCGCGTGGGCGGGAGGCAGAGACCCGGCTCCCAGGGGGGAGGCCCCAGCCTGGCCCAGCTCCCTCTGGCTGCCCTGGACACCCACTGACCGCGGGCTGGGTCAGCTGGGGTTGACCTGCGTGACCCCCCTTCTGACCCTAGGGGACTGGGAACAGCCAGGTGCCCCAGAGCAAGTATGCCGAGCTGCTGGCCATCATCGAGGAGCTGGGGAAGGAGATCAGACCCACGTACGCGGGGAGCAAGAGCGCCATGGAGAGGCTGAAACGAGGTGAGTCTTGGGCGGCAGACTCCCTGCTGGGCGACCCCCAGCGCTGCTCCTGTGACTGTTTAGGGAGATTTCTCCGGAGGACAGGGCGGGCGGGGGGGGCCCGGGCTGCTGCCTGTGACAGCTACCGGGCAGGTGAGCGGGCGCAGTGGGCTGTCTGCCCTTGGGCCCTGAGGGGCAGGGACTTGGCCGGCGGTCCTCACGTGGGGCTTCTCGGAAGGCGGCCCCAGCCTGTGCCAGGCTCGAGCTGCCAGGCCAGCCACCTGCTCGGCGGGGCCGTTGTATCCAGGCTGCCACCACCCTGGTCCCAGGAGCCCCGGGAGGGTGCCTCCTCCTCCAGGGTGAGGGCATGTTCTGGGGCCTGCCTGCCCTCTGCTTCTGCACCTCAGGGCAGGGCGGAGGGGGGGTGTGGGGAGGCAGAGGGAGAGAGAGCACTTTGAAGTTCTGTCGTGACTGGAGAGGGAGGGGGGAGGGCGGCCACGCAGAAGAGGTGACTCCCGTGCGGAGTGGCCGGGCGGCTGACTGCAGGAGGAGGTTAAGTAGGCTGTTACCTCGTGAAGGAAGGGGAGTGCAGGGGAGAAAGGGCTTCTATTTTAGAAGGTGGCAATTCAGAGCAGCAGTGGCCTAAGTGCCAGTTTAATTTTGGCAGGGATTTGGGGGTTCTTAGAGAAGCAACTTGGGAGAAAAATTAGAGGAACATTCTTGGTCATAAATTTGGGGTGTGGGGCTATGATTCGGCTGTGCCTGGCTGGGCTCCCCAACCTGCTGCTGTGAACACCTTTGTGAAGAGACTGCTGGCAGCGCTGGGTGGGGGCTGTGGGGAAGTGGGGGTGACAGACCGAGGCTGGGAGGGGGCCACAGCATGGCGTCAGAGGAAGCAAGACAGCTTTGATAAGGAGTGCTGTCTACTCGAGTGGCAGTCCCTGGAAGATGGTGGACCCCAAATCTGACTGACCATCTGCACCCCCAAACGGCTGGTGGTTCAAGTCAATGGGGGACTAGCCAGTGGCCACATCCCGGGCTGCCTGGTTGTCTCTGGAACCCTGACTGGCCTAATAGCGGGGAAGGGTTGCTCAGGGCTTGACGGGGGGCAGTGCTGTCCACAGGGCAGCAGACAGACCGCTGTACTTTTTAATGGTTGGAAACACCCATGACTGTGGAACACGTGAAAATGGTGAGATTCGCTCCGGGTCAAGCGTGCGCGCTCCCAGGAACACGCCACCCCCTCGGCTTAGTGCGGGGCTGCTTTGACCGGGCAGCGCAGACTTGGGTGCTATGCCTGAGTCCGTGGCCTGCAAAGTCCAAAGTTTTTGCTGTCTGGCCCCTTCTAGAAAGAGGGGTCTGAAGCTCTGAGATAAGATTTGGGGGGGGGGGGTCATTTCCAAGACCCTTGGAGTTCTGTCTTAAACAGCATAGAGGCCTGAGGTCTGGTAAAATGAGAGCAATTTCATGACTAGTGATCTCATTTTTTGCCAGTGGAGGCAAAGCAAAACCAGAAAAGATAACAGATGGGCGGGGGTGTCCTCAGTCAGGAGGACAAGGTCGGGGGGTGAGGGGGCTTGCCACGCCGAGCAGCCACCTTGCCTCTAGCACTTGCAGGCCGCCTGCCGCTGGGTTCAGGTGAAGCCAAAAAAAGCAAGGATGGAGAGCGTGGCGTCTCCAGGGTCGGGCAGGCCCAGGGAAGTTGGGTGGAGACACATTGGCTCCCTCTGCCCGGCAGCACGCCATGGAGGGCGCCGGCGGTCACCACCTGGAGTGCGGGACGAGTTTGAAGAGTTTGCAGGGAAGGGCTTGGGGAGCACCTGGGACCGGCCTGTGCCTTTTCAAACCACTGGAATACTTGGGTGGTTTGATGCAGGTCCCGAGTTCCCTTGGGGGGTGGGTGGTCTCTGGCCGGGCTGGGAGGGTCCCTCTTCGTCCTCTGGAACCCGGCTCTGCCTGCCGCTCCCCAACGTCTGCTGCTCTTGCAGGCATCATTCACGCCAGAGGGCTGGTTCGGGAGTGCTTGGCCGAGACGGAGCGGAACGCCAGGTCCTAGTGGCCTCCTTCCCCTGGAAGCTTTTCCATCTTCTTCCAAGACAAGAAGTTACAGTTCATCTCCCCTCTTCAGAAGAAACTCTTGCTTTCAAAATGGTAACAGTTTGGTTTTCCTCCTGTGTGCCTCCCATGATTCCTTAGGCTCTGACCCTACTACTGTCTCTAAGATGGAGAGAAGATTTTGGCAGTGGATTAGGGCTTGCATTTTAAATAGTTAGCAACGCCCAGGTTGGTTTTTTCCCCCAAGCATTGATGCTCAAGATGCGTGTCAGGTCACCTGTCCCACCGCAGACGGGCTGCCCGCAGCGCTGGGCCAGGTCAGCCTCTTCTGTTACCCAGAGGGCCTTTCGTTCCTTTCCGTAAGCTAACCCAGCTGGCGAGGGTGCTCAGTGCCCACCGACAGCACCTTCCTTAGGGGCCGCGCCTTTCGTCATACAGCGTAGATTCTGCTTCATGTAACTTCTTTTTTGCTTAAGCATTTGCATGACAATTAGTGCTTTGAAGTCAACTTAAAAAACGCACAAGTTATAAATACAGAAGAAAGAGCAACTGCCAAGCTACCAAGCCTGACCCCGAGGCGTTCCCACGGAGACTGGACACAGGTTCCAGCTCTGCCTTTCTGGAAGTTGGTCCAAACATCTGGAAGAAAACGACTAAAACCGTTTGCATCTTTGTATGTATTTATTACTTGATGTAATAAAGCTTATTTTCATTAACAATTCGTATGAGGATGTGGGTTCCTTCACCTCCTAAGTGGTGTTTCAGAGAAGAGTTGAGGAGTATTGTCAAGGGGTGTTTTCCTGCCAGACCCAGACCCCGTGTGTGGTGCTGTGGTGGGCACAGCTGCTGGGCGAGGACAGGGACGCTGCCCGCGTTGTACCTGCCCGTCTGCGTACCCGCCCCTGGGGTGGACCTGCCCGTGTGCGTACCCGCCGCTGGGGTGGACTTGTGCCCTGGCTGATGCAGGTGGATGCTGGGACAAGGAAAAGAAGATTGGGGGCTCACTGCTGACTGCCTGTTGCCCCCGTGGTTGGGTCACCCCATTTCTGGGCACTTAGCCTGTGAGCATCGCCCTGGGTGGCACAGGAGTCTGTCATGTGACGTCACCACCAGCTACACCTGGGGCTCCCCGGGAGAGCCTCCTGCTCTGGTGCTGGGGAGTTGCTGGGTGTGCTGGTCCCGTGGTGCACTCTGAGGGTGCCTTCCAGCGGGGTTTGCTATGGTTTGACTCTTCCTCAGGTACTAATTCCATGCAACGACGATTCGCCTGGCTGAGGGGCAGACTGAGACCCGCGAGGGAGCTGGCCGGTGTCACAGGTAGGTGGCGAGGCCTAGTCCGCCACACAGGTGCCAGCCGGGCCAGCCAGCTGACAGTGCTGGGCGCAGCTGCAGGAGTGAGCCCTGAGCCTGCCGGGCCTTTCGACTCCCGGGCTTTTTCCTTGTTTTAGGAATGGGCTCCAGATGCGTCCTAACAAGCCGCGCCATTAATCACGCCTTAGAAAAACTCCAAACAATGTAAAGGTCAGACCCAGTTGGGTGATGGTATTGAGCAAATTCATAAGCAAATCAGGTTTCCAGAACCTCATTTCTTAGAAGCCCACTAGTAAATCAACTCACAGGGAATGACACGTATATTCCCGTATCAGAGAGGCTAGTTGGCAACATCCGGACTGTTTAGCTGACAGGGTAAATACCCCCAAGGTACAGCTTGTGAATTGTCCTCCATCTTGTTTTTTGTTCCCTTCACCTGACCTGAAGCTGATGGAGGTGCCAGGCCGCTGCATGGGGACGCCCAGCAGACAGGGTGGCCCCCAAACATGATTTTTTTTTTAATAGAGGCATGTTTTATTTATGTATGTTTGTTTATACAAGCACTGGGTACAGTCAGAAGCGCGGGAGGGTGAGAGAATTCACCAGAGCCAGAGCGGGGAGCAGAGCAGGCAGAAGGACCGAAGGACACTGCTGAGGGGAGCAGCGGGCGGCAGGAGAGGTCTGCGCGCCATGTGGGACCCTCCTCTGGTGGCCGGGGAGCAGCAGGGGATCGAACCGGCGCCGCAGAGGCCGAGGCCGCGGGCAGCTTCGCAACCCAGCGCTCAACCGCTGCGCCACCAGGAAGGGCTCCCCTCCCCACCCCCCCACCAAACATGATTAATGTTTGATATGAATACTTTTTAAAAGGTTGTTCTAGTTTTAGTGCTCTTTTTTTTTGTTTAGAGAAAGAAAAAGTTTATTATGGAGAAAAGGAACAGAAATAAAGTGAGACTCCCAAGCCGGTGGAACCAGCTTGATGATGATAAAGCTCACATGGGCACGTAGTTAAAAACAGTAAGACGGCCTCCTTGTGAGTGTACCTGAAGCCCCTCCCGGGCTGCACCCCGAGGGCAGCCCTCCCCCAGCAATGGCCGCTTTCCTTTACAGCAATAACCTATCCACGACTTTGTTCTTGAAGTGTGCATCTCGACGACGTTAGTCCACCATGCGAAGGCCTGGATGACTTTTACATCTGTCAGAAACGGTCCTTTCAAAGCTCGACAGTAACGCTGGCGACGGGACTGGTCACCTCAGACCTGCAGCGCCTGGCAGGCTGCGGCTTCCTCAGTGGCCATTCTTACATGATTCCCATTGTTCTTTCAGTAGTTTCTTCTTTGCGAGGGTCTCCTTTGTTCTTTTTTTCTTTTCCTGCTTTTTCTTCTCTGCCTCTCGCTTTTCTCTGTAAACAGGGCTGTCTTCCCCGTTGTAGAAGACGTCCACTTTCTCTTGAAGGATTTTCCGAGCTAGCTTTCGGTTCTGATCCACAGATCTTGTCTGATGGCACTGAAAGGGAGAATATTTTCGAATGTGAAGACCACAGGATGTTCTGGACAGAACCTCAGAAATCATCCAATTCAGCCTGGTCACTTTACAGAGGGAACAGGCCTGTGAGGCAAAGCCACATGTCCAGAAGCGCAGTGGTGACAGGACAGAGGCTGTCCCATTGCCCCTTCCTGCCTCTGCTCTGCTGTGCCAGGTGGCTTTCGCTGTGCTCGTGAGGACAAGAGTGTGTGCCAAGCTGCTCAAGCCGGTGCCGGCCACAGTCCTGTGACACTGAGGTGTCACTGTCAGGATCACTGGCACACACGCCTGCCTCAGCCATCTCCTCTCCCCCGTACCCAAAAGCTGGTGCTGCCCATATGTCCTCTGGCAGTTCCACTGAAAGGCAGGGGGTGACTACTAACACCAGAGACGGAGCATGTCACCACGTAGAGGCCTTGTGTTTGCTGAAAGCTGCTGCCTGACCAGAGCCTAGTTCTTTTTTTTAATCAAAGATTTATTTATTCATACAAGAGCTGCGGTGCAGGCCAGAGGTGCAGGGGTGAGAGGATTCTCCAGAGACAGAGTGGGGAGCAGAACAGGCGGATCTACTGAAACACAGTGCTGAGGGGAGCAATGTGGGTCAGCTCCCTGGCTGGGGATAGGGGATAGAACTCGTGTTGCAGAGGCTGCAGACAGCTTCATAGTGCTGAGACTCAACCCCTTGCGCCACCAGGGAGGCCCCAGCCTAGTTCTTTATACAGAGAAGGGCAGACTCCTGTGGCCGTGGTGCCCGGCATCTTTCTTCTGAGACTGAGAAGGCTCTGCCTCCACCACCTCGCCCCTCCTGCAGAAGGGCAGGTGTCACTGATGTTTACCAAAGGGGACTGAAGGACACGGAGGCCTTTCTAAAGTGAATCAGTTGGGTCCCTGGGGCTGAGCCAGCCAGCGTTGCTGCTTAGGGACTTGGAGCCTACCCAGCGCCGCAGAGCCCTCTGCAGCCAAGCTGCTGCACCAGGCCTGTGCTGCCTGCCAGCCTTGGGGTGGCAGCAGGATCCTGGGAGGAGGCTGGGAGCCTTGGAGGCTCTGCCCTGGGGAGGACAGGCCCAGGTGCCCTGCTGCCCAGCCGGCGTGGGCACTGGCTTCCACTCACTGCCAGCTGCCACCGTTCCCGCCGGGTGACAGCTACCCTGGGCCTGGCAGCCCGTTAGAGCAGCGCCCGCGCTCTTCCCTCTACCTTGACGACGACGCCCGAGGGGACGTGCTTGAGCACCACGCAGTTGCTGGTTTTGTTGGTTGCTTGGCCCCCTGGACCATGTCCTTTGACAAACTGCTCTTCGAGATCCCCCTCGTCCAGGGCCAGCAGAGCAGGGTGGTCCTTCTTGCCGGCCCGCTGCACTGGAGGGGCTGGGCCTGGGGAGAGCCAGGCTGGCTTCTCCCACAGCTGCTGTCCCCAGGGCGCTGCGTGCAGCCTGGCCAGGCAAGCTGGAAAGCGGAATAAACTCTGGGAACTCATTGGGCCCGTGGCTGAGCCTGGTCAGCACCTGCATTGGACAAGAGAGACAGCCTTTCAGGGAGAGGCGCAGCTCTGGTCTCAACACCACACCTCAGGTTCTGAGACCACTTCAGAGAAACCCATTCAATGCTGACCCCCACCGCCTCCCACCTGCCAGGAAATCAGGAAGGCAGGTTACTTGGCCACATGCCCCCCCTGCTCCCCAGGCCTTGCACCTTCTACTGTTCTCAGCGGTACACGCTCTGCCAGCAAGTGTTTCCTTCTAATAGACCAAAAATATCTTCAAAGCACCCAGAGGTGCTGTTTTCTCAGGAAGGGGAGGTTGGGAGTGTGAAATTCAAAAGAACAGGGGTGCAATTTGATAAAGAAATATTAAATAATACATCCAGGAAGGATCAGGAGCCGAGTCAAATGGAGTCTTTGAAATCCAAATGTAAAGACGGCAGGATGAGAGTCTAGTTTCCAGCTCAGCTCCAACAGTCTGACACAGTAAATATCACTATCAATCAATGTCACGATTGTTGTTTTTAATGTTTCCAGTTTCATGGATTTGAATAGGAACATGTGTTCCCTTAGACGCTCTGCCAGTAATGAGATCCAACTGGTCCTCATGGTTGAAACTACCAAATCCAGGATTCCTAGGAAAGTGCCTGTAGGTTCAAAATGCCCCGTGAGAGTCTGGGGAGCACTCGGAGGGGTAAGAGCGAGCAAGGCTGTCTTCACAGAGCTCACAGTCCACGGGGGGAGAGGCCAGAGGGAAGGTGGTATTGAGCCAGACTTTACCCTCGAGTTGTCAGGTGTGACTGAAACAGCTGAGAAGTGAGCAGAGGGTGGCAGCCAGGAGGATTTGGTGGCGTCTGCTGGCCTTTGCTCTCCTGGGGGCAGGAGGATGTGAAAGGTGTTAGTGCTTCTCAAAGGTCTACGGGAGAATGGGGGTGAGCTGTAACCTGGGCTGTTTTCTGATCTGGAAATGGGTGATTATGCCCTTCTCCATCCAAACCACAGGAGCTTAAACATCAGAGAAAGTGTCCGGGAAAGGCCTTGTGCGGACCTTGCTGAAGGAAGAAGGCTGGTGTTGGGCACCACTCCTGCCCCCAGGTGAAACTACCCATGTGCTTAGTGCCTCCTGACAGGAATTTCGTGGCTACTGAGAACACATGTACCTACCTTTTTGACATCTGCTTCCTCGGAGGCTCTGAAGAGCTGCTTTTACCATTTGAAACCCTATCCATTCGCGCTCATGGCAACTGGCCTCCAACACAGGCACAAAAAGGAGTCTACCTTTGCAACTTCCTACGTCAGAAGTGACTTAACATCCACCGAAGTATTTCACCAGCTTGGCTGGAAGGTCATTTACCTTTCACTTGGTGTCATTTTGGCTGCGAATGTCTCCCGGGCCCACCCCGATCTCCAGGTAAGTGCTCAGGGAGTGTAACCCAGACGTGCTACTAGCTTGGCTGCCTTGTAAATTATGTGCATTGTGCTGTTATTTTAAGTGTGCATCATAGTACTTACTTGGTTTAGCTGATGCTGAGATGATACGGTCATCTTTACAATGATTCACGATACTATTTTTTTTTTTGCATGTAGAAGAACCGGGGCACAGACCAGAGGTGCGGGGAGGGGTGGGTGGAGGATTCACCAGAGACAGTGGGGAGACAGGAGAGGTCGGCTGTGCCCTGTGGGTCAGGTCCCTGGCCGGGATCGAACTCAGGCCCTAGAGGTGATAGCACTGAGACTCAACCCGTAGGCCCCCAGGGAGGCCTGGATTTACAGTGCACTTCATCTTGCTATTTCTGTGAAAAATAAACAGAATGAAATATACTTTTCCAAGTCTTACACCAAAGCTTGTTCTCACTTATGTGACTGGTGTCACAGTCTAAGCTCCAGTCTTTGTGAAAAGTCTGGCCTTTGGCACGTTCTGTTGGGGCCGCTGGGTGACGATTCAGGTGGCATTGGTAAGGCGCGTGTGGCTTTGGAGGGATTTCTTTTCAATTGTGCCAGTGGAAGGGTTCTTTCAAAATGGGTTTTGTTTATTGCGTGGAAAGATTTCAGAAGTAGCTGCAGGAAAAGCTAATCTACCAGTGCACACACTTTCTCTGAGGCGTCTACAACAGAGTCCGCTCCCCGACCAGGGAGGGAGGGAGGGAGTCCAGGTCTGTGTCCAAAATCCCCCTTTCCTTCTTTCTGCGTTCAGTCTGCAGAACAGAATCCCTTTGTGTCTCGCGGTGCCTCGCCCCCGGGTTGGACTGATCGTGGGACATGAGCCCAGCGCCTCTCTGGGCTGCTCTTCCGCTTGTCAGTCAACCTGACCTGGCGGGACAGCACGGGCAGAGCGGTGACAAAGGAAGGAAGCGTCTGAGACGAGGCGAAACTCCCGGACAAAGGCCAGAGAGCGCTTTTATCAGCGGCCCCGTCGCCAGCCCGCTGAGCCCCGCATCCTGCCTTCCGTCCCAGTTCAAGCCGACACGCACACGCTGGATGTTCTCCCACCCAACTGGAGTTCAGGAAGGTCCCCGGCGCTCCGTTACTGGCTGCTTTGTGTAACAGCTAATTCCAGCAGCCAATCGGGCGGTGCTAAGTACTTTTAGTATCTCCTGAAGCTTTGGCTGTACGCCAATGGCTGCTAAAAATGACAAACACACCCATGGTTCCACTTCCCCGAAGCCCTGAGAAGAATCGGGATTGGATTTCAGTTTTTGTGATACCCACAGAGCAACCCAAAGTCTTTGGGGAACAATGAAAGCTGCTCAAAACAGAGCTCATGGTGACATTACAAAAGGAAAAAGGGCGGGGGAGGGGGGGCGCCATCAGGACAGGGTCGCCCTGACTCCCTTCCGAACCGCGTCCAGGCCGGCTCTCCTCGCCGCTTGCCCTCAGCCCTGCTTGGCCTCGGATGCCGGGTCTGCCCGCAACAGCTGACTGCAGTTTAGGCTAAACTCTGCCTGTCTGAGCCCCTTCCAAGTCGGTCAAGTTAAAGAAAATAGGAACGAGGTCTTCACAGCCAAGAGCGTCCACTTGCCCAGTACCCTGGACGTCTACATGCCGTGTGTGGGCCAGGGGCCGCCTGGCGCAGCCCAGGATGGTGACAGGCTGGAGAGGCGGTTCTCATGCTCTGCTGTGCCCCCACCTCCCGGAGGGCTGGATTTCGGGGCTTGGAACCTGCATCCACCCAGCGGCCATCTCTCCTCTGCTTCCGCGGTCAGCTCCAACCAAGAAGGGCATCGAGCTGCAGGGTGGCACGGTCAGCTCTGGAGCGGAGTGGAGCAAAGCACCACAGACCGAAACCAGAGGCAGGGAGGTGAGGCTTGTTTCTCTGGCTCTCCTGCCCTGGAAGGCACAGGATTGCAATCTCCAGAGTCACCTTTTGGAGGCCATTTGTCTAAAATTCGGTTGTTTTTTTTGTTTTGAAAGGTAGAGTGCCAATTTCTGTCAGCCAGCCAGATTTCCTGGGGGATCCACCTTGCAGTGACTTCATCACAACCACACAAAGGAACAGATGTGCAGGTTAACTGAAATGCGTGCTTTAGGCCAGAGGACTGCGGCAGCTCTGCCAGCCAGGCTCCCACTAAAACTTTCCCTGCGCAGATGCATCCCCTGGGGAGCTTGTTCAATGGCTCTTGGCTCATTAGGCCTGGGAAGCCTGAGACTCTGCATTTCTAACCAGCTCCAATATCAGGCTGTTGCTATTGGTCCCAGAACCCCACTTTGGATGTCAGGGCTTAGGGTTAGGGTGCTGCCTATAGCTGGCTCCTGAGCCGTCTGCTGGGTGAGCGCCCCAGGATGGTGGTGGTGACAGTGGAGAGCAGTGTGTGCAGGAGTGTAAGGGGAGCAGGAAAAGGAAAACATTGAGAGAAAAGAGTCAGATGAATGCTGATTTGAGCTACCAGAGAAGGCAGAATGGTAACAAGAGGATTGAGAAACTGGGTCATCTGAAAAAAGAACACCCCAAACGCCCCTTTTGTTGCAGTTCGCCAACAGGAACACCAGGCAGGCTATGTGTGCACGCCTAGTTTCTGGTAGTCATGTTAAAAATATTAAAAGAAACGAATGAAATGAATTTTAATACAGTTTATTTAACCCAATATATATAGAAATATCGCACCATGTAACCATATAAAAAGTGAGACATTTTGTTCTTTTTTTTTACACGAAGTCTTTGAAATCTGGGGTCTAGTCACACAGCATATGCCACATGAACTAGCCACATGCGCCAGGTAGATGTGGCTCCAGAATCTTCCTACTCAAAGTGTGGTCCACAGAGCAGCAGCGACAGCACCTGGGAGCTTGCTAGGAGCGAAGAATGTTAATTTGGACCCAGACCTACTAAATGAGACCCTCCATGTTAGTAAACTCTTCAGGGGAGTCAGAGGCACACTAGTTTGAAAAGCTCCTCCCAGAACACAGGACTAGCAAGTCCTGCAGCTTCTAGGATACTTTGAAAAGCTGCTGTGACTTACACTTGTAGCATTCGAGAAGTTGAGATCAGAATTTAGGGGTGCTGATTACCTGCTTAGTCACCCTCTGGTTTCCCCCTCCGAATAAGGAGATAAATCCCTGAGCAGCGAGTCTGGACACTGCTAAACTGCAGCTTCAACGACATAAAGGCCAGCTGACGGCATCAGGACTAAGTGAGAGAATGATTTTTGGAGAAATTCTTAAGAGTAATTCACGTCTCAAGTGTTCTGGTGCTCCCTGCCAGACGGGACTGAAAATAAAGCAGTCCTCCTAGATCTTCCACAGCCAGCTCATCCTCGCGGCCTCTCTGCCTGCAACCCCAAGCGCCGAGCCCCTCCCTCCCCGCGGGAACTCTTGGGAACTGCGACTCTGACTCTGGCTTGAAAAGGACTGTGTCATTTCCCAGGCCAGTTTCAGGCTGAAGACACTGCACTTTTCACCCACAATAAATGTTTACAGACAAGTATTCCTCAAATAAAAAGTGTAATGGACCCAGCAGTTACCCTTGATTGTGGGGTGCGAGTGGGGGCGGTGACCCGAGGAGCAGGAGACCGACCAATCTGGGTCAGGTCTAGATGCTGCCAGTTCAAGTAAAGAGATAAGCTTTCAATTCACTGACACCAGCACCCCATTCAGGTTTTTGCTTTAGAAACAGCTCTGAATCCACAGATAATCATGCCTATCCTGTGTGCGCACACCGCTGCCATTCCCTTCTAATTATGACATCTAACAGGAACTTTGTATTATCAACCGCACTATTAAGACAGAAACACAGAGCCTCCCCCGGTGGCCCAGGGGTTAAATCTCAGTGCTATCACCTCTACCGCCAGAGTTTGATCCCCGGCCAGGGAGCTGACCCACATATGACGTGGCAGACCAATCCTGTCTCCCCGCTGCTCCCCTCAGCAGTGGATTTCAGTCAATTCGCCTCCTCTGCTCCCCACTGTCTCTGGTGAATCCTCTCTCCCCCGACATCTCTGGCCTGTACCCCAGTTCTTATATGCATAAATAAATAAATCTTTATTTTTTTTTTAATTTTTTTTTATAGAGGCATGTTATTTATTTGTTTGTTTGTTTTGTTTATACATGCACTGGGTACAGTCAGAAGCGCGGGAGGGTGAGAGGATTCACCAGAGCCAGAGCGGGGAGCAGAGCAGGCAGAAGGACCGAAGTACACTGCTGAGGGGAGCAGCGGGCGGCAGGAGAGGTCTGCGCACCATGTGGGACCCTCCTCCAGTGGCCGGGGAGCAGCCGGGGATCGAACCGGCGCCGCAGAGGCCGCAGCAGCTTCGCAACCCAGCGCTCAACCGCTGCGCCACCGGGGAGGCCCTAAATAAATAAATCTTAAAAAAAAAAGTCTCAAAGCCTCCATGACCATTAATGATGCCTTGTATTTACCTAGCACTTAAATGTTTTCAAAGCACTTTCAAATGTGTTAACGAATTTGACATAAAGAAGGGAAGCATACCAGGTGGTTATTGCAGGTAGACTTATCTGGAAGACCATTCAGTATTCCATTTTTACACTAAGTTTATCCTTTCTACAGCTTGTCTTTACCTTCGTAGTAGCGCCAGAGCTGTCCTTCCCCAGATCCTTAAATAGTCTTAGCTCATTATCCTCAACTTCTTCCTTTTTTTTTTTTTTTTAAGAGGCATGTTTTTATTTATTTATTTGTTTGTTTGTTCGTTTTTTGTTTATACATGCACTGGGTACAGTCAGAAGCGCGGGAGGGTGAGAGAATTCACCAGAGCCAGAGCCAGAGCGGGGAGCAGAGCAGGCAGAGGGACCGAAGTACACTGCTGAGGGGAGCAGCGGGCGGCAGGAGAGGTCTGCGCGCCATGTGGGACCCTCCTCCGGTGGCCTGGGAGCAGCCGGGGATCGAACCGGCGCCGCAGAGGTCGCCGGCAGCTTTGCAACCCAGCGCTCAACCGCTGCGCCACCGGGGAGGCCCCCCTTTTTTTTTTAAAGATTTATTTATTTATGCATACAAGAGCTTGGGGTACAGGCTAGAGATGTGGGGGTTGAGAGGATTCACCAGAGACAGAGGAGGGGGGCAGAACAGGAGGATTGACTGAAATCCCACTGTTGAGGGAAGCAGCGGGGAGACAGGAGAGGTCTGCTGCGCCATGTGGGTTGCTCCCTGGCCGGTCCGGGATCCAAGTCATGCTGCAGAGGCTGCAGATTGTTTCATAGTGTGGTGCTTAACACCTTGTGCCGCCAGGGAGGCCCTCAACTTTTTCTTCTTGACTCTTTCTCTCCAGTTTTCTGCTTTTGTCCCTGAAAGGCCATGACTGCTCTGTGGTTAGTGGGATATGTGTCAGTGTCTCACTGTAAGATTTAGATACCCTGTTTCTCCTCTGTAACGTGGAGGTGATCACACCTGGGGTGAGGGAAAAAAAAATCAGACATGTCGCTGCTAGTTAGATAAACTACCAAGCTGGAGAAATCTTTGACTAACACATAACACACCACGTAAATTGTTAACTTGCCTCACAAACCCAGTCAGCAAACTGATTATTTCATGGCCTTTTGTTTTTAGAGCTTGGAGTGAAAAGGCACCCAAAATATTTTGGGAAATTATTTTACTTGGAATGGTCCAATTTAAGAAGCATTTGGAAACCATGAAATGACCAAAGACCATGCTGGGGGTGAGGTCATAATCATGGTCTATGAAATCAGGTGCCAAGGAGATAGTTATGATGCCAGGAGTGCAGCTGACTTCCCAGCAGGCACCAGTTGGAAGATAAAAGTCCTAGTTTAAACAAGATTCCTGGGAATTACTTAATGTAGTAAGGAAGCCACAAAAGAGAGTGAAGATGAAAACAAGCCTATTTAAATGCACCCCTGAGCAAGCCCTTCCATGTTTAACTGCTAAACTACAGACTTAAGGTTTTACAGCTCCTCATATATTGCTGTGGCAAACTGGCCCCGCAAATGACAAACTGTCTGGATATAAAAACCCGTGACACAAAGTAGCACCATGGTTAACAGACACTAAATGCCTCCATTCATCAGTGTCATCACGACTGACTAGCCTGACCTTATCCCCAGCAATGCGAAAGCTCTCTGCTCAAGAGCTGGCAACCGGAAGCCTTCACAGCAAGAGAGACAGTTGAGCAATGTGGTCACACAGTCATCACACCCTCCACCAAGGCTATGAAGCAGTGGGGTAAGCGTGTGTATTTCTAATGCAAAGTCTTCATTATGGGGAAGGGTAAGTGAGATGACGTTATTTAACGCTTTTACTTTAATTTGCGAAACCGCTACTTCTATTTTCTACACTCAAAAATAACTTCCATGGAGCCTATGAAGTGCCTCTTTACCTGTTTATAGAGGTTTGAATAAGGCTTTTCTCCTCTACCGTCCAATTAATTTAAGGCCATGTCCATGGCTGAATTTTTAAAAATTAAAGCCCTACCGAAAAGCTTACCCTAAGTTGGGAAACGCGCGCGCACCCTCACGCCCAAACATCTCACCACCTCGGCCACCCAGACGGCTCCGACTCGCTCCCGAACCCGCCGATTCAGGACACCGGCTTAAGACCCGCCTGAAGTCAGGCGTCAAAACCAAAACGCTCAAACTAAGAGGCCTTCGCTTTCTGGTCAGAAGCGGCGCCCGCCGCCCGCCGCCCGCGCCGTTGCAGCCAGCACGGGCGCTGGACTGAGCGACCGCGCGGGGCGCCGGCGTCCCGAGTCCTCCGAGCGGCGCGGCGGCGTCTCCGGCACGAGTCGTCGCGGCCGCCTGAGCCGGCGAGGCCGCGGCCGGGGGCCCGTTTCCCGGCGGCCCGAAGCAGGGTCGCTGAGACGGAGCCGGGTGTTGAGGAACAACTTGATTCTGGTTTCGTCGGGGTGTGACGCCGGCCGGCGGCGGCGGATGTGGGGGATGTGGGGGGGGTGTGTGGGTGGGGGGGCGGCGCCCCACCTACTCGGGCTCGGCGTCTGCCCCGCGCGTGTGGGGCTGGAGCGGGCGCGCGGCTGGCGGGAGGTTTTCCGCGCGGCCGCGAGGAGAGGGGACGCCGCCCGCAGGCCGCCAAGTCCCGGCAAGGGCAGGCGTCCCCGCTCCGGCTCCTCCGGCGCGACGCCTCCGGGCCGGGCAGGGCCAACCCGCCAGCCGCGGGGCACCCGTCTGGGGAACGCGCGCACGAAGCGGGCTGGGGGCGCCCGGGAGCGGCGGGCTCGGCAGCCACAGGGCGCCCCCCGCCCCGCGGCCCAGTCCTCGACGACCCCCGCGCCCCAGCGGCCCCGGGACGCGCGCTCGGGCGTCGGGGCCTCGGGCCGGGCGCGCGGTTACTCGGGGTCGCCAGCCGGGAGGCAGGTGTCCCGGCTCCCAGTCCTCGCTCCGCGGCCACCGGCCATCCAGGTGGCCGCGCGGCCGTCCGGCTCCCCGCGCGCTTACCTGGCCTCAGGGCCGACCTCCCGCCCCGGCTCGGGGGGAACCGGAATCGCCGACGCGCGGGGCGTCCGGCGCCACCTGGTCTGCGCACGCGCCCTGCTCTCGCCGCGGCCCCCGCCCCTCCTGGAGACTCGCGCTCACTAACTGCGCATGCGGGAAGCTGAGGCGTTCTTCCCGCGTGGCCGCCGTCATTCCCAGAGAGCCAATCAGATGTGGGGATTTGCCAGCAGCCCCGCCCCTCCTTATTTCCCAGGCCTCGGACACCGGCCTCGGGCGCCGAGGGCGGGACCGGAAGGGGGAGGTCGCCGAGGGCGCCAGGGCTCGGTCGTCTCCGCCCCCTGCCGAGCGGCCAATCGCGGGCGAGACGCCGGGCGCGCGCACGCTCCTTCGAGTTTAACGGTCGCGAGGGTCCGCGCGCCCGACCCTGACAGAGGCAGCCGGAGCGCCGGCCAGGTAAGCGGCCGCCGGCCTGCGCGGTGCTGCCGGCGGTGGGGCGCAGAGCACGGGCCTAGACGGCAGCGCCCCGGCGACCCCGGCGCGGCTGGGCCGGGGCCAGGGCAGGGGTCGGAAGGCGGCGCAGCCCCGGCGCGGGCCCGCGGCGTGTGGGGGAGTGGGCGGCTGCCGCCCGCCTTTTCAAGACTCCGTGCCCTTGAGTGACACCCGCGCGGCCCAATCGCGGGGCGCGGGCTCCGGGGGCGGGGGGCTTGGAGGTTTTGCTTCTTGTTTCCCTCTGGGCGCGCGGCGCCCCCTTGTTTTCCGGGTCGCGAGGGCGGCGGCGGCGCCCGCTGGCTGCTCTGCGGCGCCCCGCTCCGACCCGAGAGCCCCCGGCCGTCGTGGGCTGGCTGTGCGCGCGAGCGGCCGGGTCGGGCCCGAGGGCCCCCGAAACCATCCCGCCGTCTCCCCGCAGCCCCATCCTCGCGGGTCCCCTGGTCGGCTCCCCTGCCGCGCGCGCCCCCCGGCCTGCTCCTCCCCGCGCTGCCCTTTCGCTGAGGAGCGGGGGGACCAAGGGCGTCGTGCCGCGTTGCCGGGGAATGTAACTGTTCCGGGGTCCACGTTCCGTGGAGGTTTTGCTTCTTAATTTTGCATTGCGTTTTGCAGCTTTCACTTATTTTTTAATTTCTTGGGTTGCCCCTTCCCGCACTCCTCCCCGCGACGGCTGGAGACGGGAGGCCCCGTGGCCCTCCGGGTGGCCTTGAGTCTGGGCCTCTGCGGCCGCGGCCGCGGCGGGGCGGGCCGTGGGGGACGGGGCGCAGATCCCCGTCCCCGGGGAGCTGGTGTTTGCCCGGTAGGAGACCACGGTGATTTGAGTCGAGGTATTTTCGTTGCCCGTTGGGAGGCACAGCCCCCTGCTTTTTCAATACCCCATTTGTGGTTGCCAGTGGGCTGAGCCGCTGGGGAGAAGTCCATTGAGCTAGGTCGGGTTACCCGCCGCTTTCTCACCTGGCCCAGGTTTTGCAAAGCCCTGCTTTGTAAGCCCAGTCCCGGGACGTGAGACCGGGGTACTGGGTGCTGTTCTGCGCTGGCACCCCGGGAACTTCTCGTTTTTAAACTGCACAGATTTTATTTTTCTTCTATTTTTCCATTGGCTTCCTTTTTGTACGTGAATTCCCCCAGAAGGAGGCATGTTGTTATAGCCAGTTTTCCTCTCTACACCACGACTCAGTTAACCTGGCAAATGGTTTGTTTTTTGAGAAGTAGTGCATGCATAGAGCACAACAGGCTGTGTCGTTGAACATTCCTTCCACCCCCCCCTCCCCACCTTCCAGCCAGCCGGGAAACCACCATTGTTAACACTTTAACTGGGCATGCCATGTTCAATACCCCGTTCCACTGCATCTGATGACGTTCCTGCTGTATAAATGACCGAGCATGGATACTTGCTGGAGTTTATTAAATGAACAAGGCATGTAAGTATTCGTATTGGTACATAGTAGAACGTCCAGAACCTCGATCATGAAACACATAAAATTTTGACATATTACTTAAAAAAGATGCTACTTTTGCAAATCACTCTTACTGTGCATTTTAAATTGGGATGTAATTCACATACCATAAAAATTTTAACACCTAAGTGTTCACTTCAGTGGTTTTTAGTCTGTTCACAGTTGTGCAACCATCACATTGTAGAACTTTTCTTCATCCGCTTTCCTCCCCCAAACCCTCATCCAGGGTAGTCATTCCCCTTCTGTCCTCCCTCAGTTCCAGGCAGCTTTCGGTCTCTAGCTTGCTTGTTCTCGCTATTTCCGAAAAGTGGGATCACGCTTGTGGTCTTCTGCTGGCTGCTTTTATGTAACATCATGTTTTCGGTGCTCATCCACATCACCGCCTGGATGAATACTTCCTTCTTGTTATGGCTGAAAAATGCTGTTAGGTGGATGGACCTAACAGCTTATCCACTTGCCAGTTGTTGGGCATGTGGGTGGTTTCTGCGTTTTGACATGTACCAACCGTGTTGCTCTCCTTACTGTAGACTTGTATGAAACGATCAAAGTTTCACGACCAAAGTATTGAAAAGACAGTTGCTAGGTTTAGTGGCCTTTTATAGTAGTATTTTCCCCCCATCCATTTTCAGACTCTCTTGGGAGCTTAGCCTATTTCCCAGTTCTGAATGTTAGCATCTGAAAATGCCTGTAGATGATGAAGCAGCTGAAGAGGACTCGGATTCAATTTCTTCAAACAGTGAAAGAACCTACATTTCCAAATAAGAGAGTATAACAGTTTCTGTACACTATGGAAGATTTTGACTTGGTGAAAACCTTACCCAAAACTTCATCTTCTGTAGACTATGATATGAAAAATCCCCCCCATTCTCTTGGACTGAACTTAAGTACTAATAGGTAAGAATGGGGAAGATAGGTATTTTTAACAAGGTAACCACAAACAAACTAACTTTGTGTAGTTTATAATATAGTCAGACAGTGTTATAGTTACTGATTTACATTAAAAAATTGCAAACTGTGATCAGGAACTGTTCAGAGACAGCTGTTTAAGATGTTTAAGAATAGTATTACCATCTTCCCCAGAGATATGTATAAATATTTTTGTGTGAGGAATGTCTTGAAAAGGAGCTTGTTCTGCTAGTTGTAGTTTTTTTTTTTTTTTTTTTTATAGAGCATGCTTATTTATTTATTTATTTATTTATTTGTTCGTTTGTTTCGTTTATACATGCACTGGGTACAGTCAGAAGCGCGGGAGGGTGAGAGAATTCACCAGAGCCAGAGCAGGGAGCAGAGCAGGCAGAAGGACCGACGTACACTGCTGAGGGAGCAGCGGGCAGCAGGAGAGGTCTGCGCGCCATGTGGGACCCTCCTCTGGTGGCCGGGGAGCAGCCGGGAATCGAACCGGCGCCGCAGAGGCTGCGGGCAGCTTCGCAACCCAGCGCTCAACCGCTGCGCCACCGGGAGGCCCTGTAGTTTTTCTTTACACTTTTTTTTGCTTTTGGTAAATTACAAGACTTATCTTTACATTTAGTTGCCTCAATATTATTTCTATATTTTATTTTTTATTAAGATTTATTTAATACTCACACAAGAGCTGTGGTACAGGCCAGAGATGCTGAGTGTGAGAGGATTCACCAGAGACAGAGTGGGGAATAGAACAGGCAGACTGAGTGAAATACACTGCTGAGGAGCAGCGGGCGAGATAGGAGAGGTCTGCTGCTCCCTGGCCGGCCGGGGATCGAACTTGTGCTGCAGAGGCTTCGGATTGCTTCATAGTGCGGTGCTTAACCCCTTGTGCTACCAGGGAGGCCCCTGTTTCTATATTTTAAAGTTAGCAGTACAAATAATGTTTAATATTACTCAAATTCCTCACTCATATGGAAAGTAGCAATTAAGTTGAATATGAGGAAGTCAGCAAATAGACGCTGTCAAACCATGCATTGTATACATCTTCTTTTTTACATTTTATAAGGACAGGTTTATTAGGAAAAGGAGAAAAAGAGCATCTGCATAGTCAGAGGTAGGCAGAAAGCTGCCTCTCCATTGTATACCTTTTCTTTTGAAAGTGTCCCATCTTTGTTTTCAGCCTGTATCCTCATTTTGTGCATAGTCTGACAGGCTTGATCATTTGATTTCTAAATTTACAGTAGGTTGAAAACGACAAAGGAGGGGCTATTAGAAAGGAGACCACCCAGGGGCCTCCCCGGTGGCGCAGTGGTTGAGCGCTGGGTTGCGAAGCTGTCCGCAGCCTCTGCGGCGCCGGTTCGATCCCTGGCTGCTCCCCGGCCACCGGAGGAGGGTCCCACATGGCGCGCAGACCTCTCCTGCCGCCCGCTGCTCCTCTCAGCAGTGTGCTTTGGTCCTTCTGCCTGCTCTTCTCTGCTCTACTCTGGCTCTGGTGAATGCTCTCACCCTCCTGCGCTTCTGAATGTACCCAGTGCTTGTACAAATAAATAAATAAATCCTTCAAATAAATAAATAAATAAATAAAAGTTACTCTATATTTAAAAAAAAAAAAGAAAGAAGACCACCCAAAAGAAGCAGGCACAGGCCATGGAGACAGCAGCCGGGCCATGGGTAGACGGCCGGTGTCCACCGCAGCCAGCCTTGAGGGCAGTGGGCTGTAGATAAATGAATGAATTCCTTAAAGATACATGTTCATTCTCTGCTCTCAGAAATAACTTAAGGCAGTTTACAAGAATTTATAAAATAGAAGGAGGCAGGAATGAAGGTAGGTGGAAGGGAGAGCAGAGCCACGTGGGCAGCGATGGTGAGCGCTGTGCCCACTTGGTGGACGCTGGTTTCCACCGTCATTTGGTGGCCCCTCTGATGCCCACTTCTACCAGCTATCTCTTGGGATATCTGTGTTTGGTTTCCTTGGAGGAGCCAAAATTGCCTTTCTTATAAAAATTGTGTAATCCAACTTGCCTCCCTTTGCACTGTGACTGGCAGTTCCATCAGCCAAATTTAAACTTGGAGATGACACAGCCCCTATGGACAACATACATGATCTTTCCCTGAATTCTTACTAGTATTTCTCTGATCCTCATTATTTTATAGTTATTTTCATTAGTATTATCTTTTTAAAAAATAAACCAAAACAAAGCAACATATCAATAAGTGAAAATGACCTATGAGTGACTGGAATTTAAACAGATTTTAATGTCTTTAATTATGCTTAGTGTTTTTATAAAACAAATCTGAAATAAACTCATCTCAAGTTTGGGAAAGCAGTCCTGGAAAGAATCAGTGCTATTTTACACCCTGAATAGGCTAAATAAGACTGAATATTTGCTGCTAATTTGCTTGGCACAATTTTTATTCAAAGACAGTGCAAAGATAAGCATCAGCTTATCACCCCAAATTAGAGGGAATCCAATTAACAAGATTGACTGTAATTCTGGGCAGTGGGGAAAGAAAAAGAATCTGTAATAAAGGCTGTTCTGAAAGTACGTTACCCATGCATTAATCCTCTGGAGTAATTTAGATGGAAGAGGCGGGAAATTTTTATTATTATTTAGCAGATACTAATTTTCTGCTGGTACTTTGGAGTCGCCTCTCACTTCTGAGGAACGTCTTTCTGTTAAGTTCTTTAAAAAAATAAATAATTGAATGCTGTTTGTCTTTTTGCTGCTATTTTCCTTGCCTGGTCAAACTGGTGATCAGATTTTCAACAAATGAGGTGCTATTAAGAAGGATTAAATATCAGTGGTTTTGTACTGCTCTGTTAAATCATGAACTGCTGAATTATTCAACACTTTGGTAGAATGAAGAAAACCATTTGAATTATTTATGTTTCAACAGAAGTAGTCCCCACCTTAGTACAAATGGGGTGTCCTCTTTCTCAGGGAAGACCACACCGTCTGTAATCCAAGGTACAGTAGAAGTCCTGTCCTCTTTAATGCAAGAACTACAAAACAGTGGAAAGGCTGACGCGGAACTTTGGAAAAACTCTGAGGTATTTAGTTTTATTTTACTTTTGGGATGAATAATTCTCTTTTTAAATGTATCACAACTAAGCTCTAAATTATTAGGCACTCACATCCTAGAGAGCATGGTGCTTAAGTTACTGCTGGAGTAAAGGGGCCAAGTGAGTAAATCGGGGAATAGTATTGGATAGACATGAGAAAGACAGTCAGACATACGTTTAACAGTATACTCATGATTAGACATGCTGATTATATCTAAAATGTGAACTAAAGTATTGTCTTCAGAGAAATGAGAATTCCAAAAGCACTAATATTGTTGCTGATCCTAAAGTTTTAAATCACTTGTACGAATTGTCATCCCTTTGTAAAACTGTTATAGGGCAGCCCCAATACAAAATGGGGTGCCTGACTGTGGGTCCTCACCCACGGGCTTAAAAGGACTTATCAATGCTCTACTGCAGGCACACACAAAAGGTTAATAAAAGGTTTATTGACAAGGGAAGGGCAAATGAGGAAATGTACAGCTCAGGCAGAAAAATGGGAGACAAAGTTTTAAATGCGTCCTACCCGATCCGCCGATCAGGAATCCCAAATGGTGCTCTGAGAGCTGCCACCAGCCAGGAGCCGTGAAGCCAGGAGGCGAGTGACAGAGCGAGAGAGCCCCCAAGGCCCAAGTGTTTGGTTTTTATACCCAACCTGGCTGCTTAACTCCACCCTCAGGTCCCAGCCACCTTCCCTTTGGTGGTAACGGGATTTCTCTTTCCCAATGTCTTGATGACTTTGGTCTGGAGTGGGGGGTGGGGCCCACAAAGCCTGTATGGGATTAGCTCAGGACATCCTCTCCCCCTAACAAAACCAAGACTCTTTCATGCCCGATCATATTCTTGATTGTGATATGTGAGTTGCACTGACTTCATGTCAGTGGTTTTTTCCTTTGGTTTATAGGTTAAATTGACATAAAAATTTAACAGTTAAAAGAATATATTTAATTTATGCCTAAGAGAGACTTGACAAGGATAGATTTCGTAATGCTTTATAGAAATGTATAAAACATTATATATTAACATATTAAGTTACTTATAGAGCAGTAGATGTTGTTTTACATGTTAATCATACTTTTCAAACTATATTGTGTTATTCTTCAGAATGTGGAATAAATGGGATGAAAGATTCCCTAGTCTGAGTTAAGTAGCAAGTACTCCTAAGCCTAACTACTTACAGTCATTACCTATAGTCATTATAAAAAATGACTATTACTGTAAACATAATGAAAATTGAATTCTAATATTGATACTTTTAACGTTTTTCCCCCACGACAATCAGTATGTGCTAATGCCAAAGACCTATAAAATGCCACTGTGAAATGACAATTCAATGGAATGTTAAATGTCCCCTAGTATAGATTAGCTTATAGTACTGAACGAACATCCTTGACAAAACTGAGGCACTGGCTCAATGTACTCAAACTTCTTGCCAATTCAGGTTAATTAGAAATTGTGATTTTTAGTATTTTGAAATCAACATCTTAGAATCAGAATATATTTATGAATTTAAGACACAGCATTTATAAACCAGGATACTTGCCAGCTACTTAAATCTTGTAACATTGAGCCAGTTTCTTACTTTCTGGCTTTTTTCTTTTTTATCTGTAATATAATGTGATTGTTTTTATTATTTTTGGTAATAACTGATAACTTAGTTTTTGTGATGTAAACATGGAATTGATCAGTGAAGCATTTAAGATATTTCTTACTTTTGATCTGGTCATTTCAGTAAAATTACTTGATGTAGTGCATTTTTGTAGCATAGAAAACCATCTGTTTTAGTGCAACATTTTAGAAAGAATGGTTGGGTGAGGACTGTGAGAATTGTCCTGCGTATTACGGTTTCACCTTCTTTTCGGAATAAAGAAGGTCTGATTTTTACCACTTTTGGGGATCACATTTTTTTGTCGTTTTTTTTTTTTTCTCCTTTGTTTTGTTTTTATTCTATAAGAAGTATGTATTACTTTGATAAGTTAAAGCATTGCCACACCTAAAAACAAGCAAAATTGGACTTTACAAGAGCAACACAAGAGGCAACCCAATTTTATTAGCCCCAAAGCCCTCTTTAGAGAACAATTTTTTTAAAAGATTTATTTATTTATAAAAGAACCGGGGTACAGGGGCCTCCACTGGTGGTGCAGGCAGTTGAGTGCAGCACTGTGAAGCTGTCCGCAGCCTCTGCAGTGTGGGTTCACTCCTGGCCAGCCGGCGAGAATCCCACATGGCGCGGCAGACCTCTCCTGTTGTGTCCGCTGCTCCCCTCAGCAGTGTATTTCACTTAGTCTGCCTGTTCTGTTCCCTGCTCTCTCTGGTGAATCCTCTCACCCTCCCGCATGTCTGACCTGTATCGGGTTCTTGTATGTATGAATAAATAAATCTTTAAAAAAAAAAAAAAGAACCAGGGTACAGGCCAGATGTGTGAGAGGGTGAGAGGATTCACCAGAGACAGTGGGGAACAGAACAGGCAGACTAAACGAAATACACTGCTGAGGGGAGCAGCGAACGAGACAGGAGAGGTTTGCTGTGCCATGTGGGTAGCTCCCCAGCCGGCCGGCTGGAATCGAACCTGCGCTGCAGAGGCTGTGGACAGCTTCACAGCGCCGCGCTCAACCTGCTGCACCACCAGGCAGGCCCTAGAGAACAATTTTTGAAATATTAGCTTTTATTGTCCTGAAATGAAATACACAGATAAAATAACCTCTCTGTCCCCACTGAAAAAGACTCCGTATCATGTCCTGGTTGTGGTATAAAGGAGGATACAAGTTCTTTTCTTTTTTTTTTTTTTTTTTTTTTTTTTTGTGGGACCCTCGCCAGTGGCCAGGGATTGAACTGGCGCTGCAGAGGCTGCGGGCAACCTCGCAACCCAATGCTCAACCGCTGCGCCACCAGGGGAGGCCCTCTTTTCTTTTTTTTTTTTGTTTTAAGATTTCTGCGTACAAGAGCTGGGGTGTAGGCCAGAGGTGTGGGGGTGAGAAGACTCACCAGAGACAGAGTGGGGAAGCAGAACAGGCGTATGGGCTGAAATACACTGCTGAGTGGAGCAGCAGGGAGTCAGGAGAGGTCTGCTGCACCCTATGGGTTTCTCCCTGGCCGGTGATCAAAGTTGTGCTGCAGTGGCTGCGGAGAGCTTCATAGTGCTGAGACCTAATGCCTTGCCGCCATCAGGGAGGCCCTAGAAGTTATTTTCTTTTTCTTTTTCTTTTTTTAAGATTTATTTATTTGTATATACAAGCACTGGGTACAGTCAGAAGCGCGGGAGGGTGAGAGAATTCACCAGAGCCAGAGCGGGGAACAGAACAGGCAGACAGACGAAATACACTGCTGAGGGGAGCAGCGGGCGGCAGGAGAGGTCTGTGCCCCATGTGGGACCCTTGCCTGCGGCTGGGGATCGAACCGGTGCTGCAGAGGCTGTGGGCAGCCTCGTGGCCCAGCGCTCAACTGCTGCACCACTGGGGAGGCCCTGAAAGTTATTTTCTATAAGATAATACACATTCCAACACCCATGCTCTCGGGGGTTCCTAAGCAGAGGACACAGCGTTGCCACCGAGCCTCCCACCAGTGCAGCCCCTGCTCATGTCACTAACCCAGCACTGTGTGGGCCCCTAATATCCTGAAACAGGGATCCCTTCTTCTGATGAAGGGCTGGAATACACTTAAGCTCTTGGCAGAGGCATTCCTGGATGATTAGTGACTTGAAAATAGCAAAATATTTGGGAGTGGGAATCAGATATCAAGTGTGAGTGGTGTGTCGCAGTGCGGGGTGTTCACCAGGCCAGACTGCAAGGCCTGCTTGGGGCACAGTGTTGGAAACTCTCAGGTGAATACCCGAGTTCTCCAATAGCCTGTAAAATACAGGTCCTCTAAATCACTTTAGTTTACAATGAATGATCATCCTCAATAATTAAGTGACTGTTATCCACTGCACTTACAGCTTTCTTAAGTAAGTTTATTTAAAATTAAAATACTAGTGATAAAACCTAACCTAATTAGTGGAAAAAATCTTTTTCCACTAATTATATGCTGGGTAAGCTCTGTTCATTTGTATCCTAAATAAACAAAGGTTGTGAGTTATAAGGTTGTGATTAATGTAAATGTCTCACACAGTGTGAAGCCATTTTTTCCCCCTTTTTTTTAAGATTTATTTATTTATGCATACAAGAGCTGGGGTACAGGCCAGAGATGCGGAGGCCGAGAGGATTCACCAGACAGGGTGGGGAACAGAACAGGCAGGCCAACCAAAACACATTGCTGAGGGGAGCAGTGGGTGAGACAGGAGAAGTCTGCCTCGCCATGTGGGTTGCTCCCTGGCCAGCCGGGGATTAAACCCATGCTGCAGAAGGTGCGGACCACCCCTTAGTGCGGTACTTAACCCCTTGGGCCACCAGGGAGACCCAGAAGCCATTTTCTTGTATGTAAATTATTACTCTGTCATGACTGTGGTTTAGTTTTATGTGAATAGTAACTTTATCAGGTTAAAAATAACCCCTAACCTCCCCGGTGGCGCAGCGGTTGAGCGCTGGGTTGCGAAGCTGCCTGCGGCCTCTGCGGCGCCGGTTCGATCCCCGGCTGCTCCCCGGCCACTGGAGGAGGGTCCCACATGGCGCGCAGACCTCTCCTGCCGCCCGCTGCTCCCCTCAGCAGTGTACTTCGGTCCTTCTGTCTGCTCTGCTCCCCGCTCTGGCTCTGGTGAATTCTCTCACCCTCCCGCGCTTCTGACTGTACCCAGTGCATGTATAAACAAAACAAACAAGCAAACCAGCAAACAAATAAATAAAGCATGCCTCTATCAAAAAAAAAAAAAAAAAAAAAAAAAATAACCCCTAAAAGGTTGCTTAAGTTTAATAACTTAGTAAGAAAACTATGTTGCTTGATTTTTTTTTTTTATTTCGATTAGCAGAAAGTACAGGGGCTAAGCATACCCTGGCAGCATGTCGTCCCATTTTGTTAAGGGCCTCCCAGCCCCTTCCCACCGTCCAGCGTGTTAGGTGATGACACCAGCGTGAAACAGTCACTTGGGTGGCATATCCGTGTGCCCACTCTTTCCTCGGCCTAGTGTCCTGGGTGCTGGGTAGAGGAGCCCAGGGTGGGACACAGACGTGTCACTGAAGTGAACAAGGGAGGTCATTCAGGATGGGGTGAATGCTGTGGAGGAGACGCAGGCTGGCGGGAGAGGAGGGGTGCTTAGGGATGGTTTGGGACTGAAGAAGGAGACGATGAAGATGACATTGCAGGGTGGGAGAAGCAGCCTTGGTAAGGACTAGGGACAGAACTTTCCAGGTAGAGGGAAAGGTCCTTTGGTGGAAGACAATTGTGGTGTGTTCAGGTTGCTCACAGGCCAGCGAGGGAGGCTGGTGTGTGTCCTTTGAGGGACAGAGAGGGATGAGGTGGAGTGTGCGGGAGCCAGATGACCAGGGCCTGGGGCAGGACAGGCCCACCTGGGCAGATCCCAGCAGGGTCCACTCAACTTGGTGGCCGAGTCTTGGGGTGGGCTATCCTCTCCAGAACCCCTCTCCTGTCATGTTTGGCTTTGCCTGGCTGAGCATGCTAACTAACTGCTCGTGGGGGTCAGGATGGACCAGGACCTGGGTGGCTGGGGAGGGGCTAGAGGCAGTACCTTGGGTTTTCAGAGTCTCTTTCTCAGTCCACTTGAGCTGGCAATGTCTCACTTTAAAAAGGGTTTTTTTACTTAAAGAGCCACTAAATTAGAGAGTAGGTTCTCAGGATACCATTTTTTTTTTCCTGTTTTACGATGTGGGGTTCTTTTTCTGGGTTCAAGTCAGTGTTTAAGAAAATTCCTTCAAGGACCTCCCTGGTGGCTCAGGGGTTAAAGATAGCTATTGGCAGCCACTGCAGCCCAGGTATGATCCCTGGCAGGCCAGGGAGCTGACCCACAGGGCGCAGGAGACCTCGCCTGTCTCCCCGCTGCTCCCCTCAGCAGTAGATTTCAGTAGAGCCGCCTGTTCTGCTCCCCACTCTGTCTCTGGTGAATCCTGTCACCCCCTGCACCTCTGGCCTATACCCCAGTTCTTGTATGCATAAATAAATAAATCTTTTTAAAAAATCCCTTAAGGAAAGAGGCATGAGGAAAGAAAGCCAAACTTCAGCCAGCTGTAATGTGCTCTCGGGAAGGGCGCAGGTGACATCCAGGTAAGGTGCCTTCAAAAAACCAGACTTGCCTCAGCCACTAGATTACTCAGACCCACCTCACAATAAGAAAAGGGCCGCATGCCTGCGAACTTGTAGTTTTGCCCTAAATGTAGTTTGCTACCTCCTTAATTCAGCTTACAGATTTACACTAACAGTACATTTTAAAAAAGGGCTGTTTCTCATCTGTGAAATACATGATGAAAAATTTTTAACTATTTTTTATAATTTACTAGACCGGGTGGTTACAGTTATTCAGTTTGGTGGAAAAACAATGTCAAGAACAAATCGTCGCCCAGCAGGAGCAGTTCCACAGCCAAGTTCAAGTGAGTTGTCATTTATATTGATTCTTTATATTTTAAGATTTGCAGAAGAACCAGTTCATACTTTCTTTTTTTTTTTTTTTTTTTTTTTCAAAGATATATCTTTTTCCATTCATCCATTTATTTATTTATTTATTTATTTTTTAAAGATTTATTTATTTATACAAGCACTGGGTACAGTCAGAAGTGCGGGAGGGTGAGAGAATTCACCAGAGCCAGAGCGGGGAGCAGAGCAGGCAGAAGGACAGAAGTACACTGCTGAGGGGAGCAGCGGGCGGCAGGAGAGGTCTGCGCGCCATGTGGCATCCTCCTCCGGTGGCCGGGGAGCAGCCGGGGATCGAACCGGCGCTGCAGAGGCTGCGGGCAGCTTTGCAACCCAGCGCTCAACCGCTGCGCCACCGGGGAGGCCCCCAGTTCATACTTTTCATTAATTTTGTTTGTAAAGAAAAGACATTTTCAGTGTAATAGCTCACATTTTTAACAGTATTTTCACATTTATAAAAACGTGAAGTTTAGTCAGTTTTCTTACCCACGTTTGTCACTTTATTTTCAGCGTATTCAGGAGGAGATCAGAAATTTAGTCAAGTTGCAGACCGGCAATGCTTCCTGGGCTTCCTTTGATAGTTCTTTAAACAGACAAGTATCTTCAGAAAGTCCAATGGGTTTTTTTTCTGAAAACAGTGAGAGAAATGAATCTGTCATCAGTTACCCTAAGTCCGAGAACCTGAAATGCAGCAAGAAACCTCTGCATCCCAGCCAGACTGCAGCGTGGACGGCGGCTCTGTGAGCAGCGGGTATGGTACCTTCAGTGTCTCCGAGCTAAACACCTGCAAGTGTGAGGACCGTAAGGAGTGCATGGAGCACAGAGAGGGGGCCCTGGGACCGCATGGGACCCCGGCGCTGCAGGCCCAGCCACTCACGGAGGCTGCCACAGCCACGAGTGGCCCCACGCGGGCTGCCGACGACTTCTGTGCACCTTTCAAGGAAGATACTTCCATTTTCCATGGTGAATTTGAACACGCTTTTCTTGGTGAAAAGATTTCTGAAGTGTACAGTGGAAAAACAAACAGGTGAGTAGTCTCTCCGTCGTTTGAAGGCAAGTTTTACTTGTTTATTGCACTTTGAATCCAGTAAGTAAAGCTTCTAGAGGCACTGAGGTGGAATGAGATGTGTTTGAAGTTTTGCCATGAGAATCAAAGTCTTTTTATTTGCTGCCTGAGGAAAGTCGAAACAAATGACCACACTGTGTGCTAATGACTCTTGACTCTTCTGTTCGTGGTGCTGTGAGATTTCTCAACCCTCAAGGTGGAGGCCTGGTCGGAAAGCGGCTCTTCTCTAGTCACAGTAACTTGCTAACATTCAGAGCACAGGGTTGTGTCTGCCGTGGATTTTGTCAACACACAAGCATGTGCTTTGAAACCAAATTATATCTAAGTGTGTACAGTTCTCTGTTTGTGTCAGAAGAGATTTGGTGAGTTTAACGACATCTGGATGGGCCCAGAGGACTTCTTAGTAAAGGAGACTGAGGCTGAATGTTGTCAGAGCATGTCGTCTACCAGAACCGTGCAGCCTGCCCTGAGCGTGCATTGCTGAAGGAAGCTGCTTGGCTGTAGCACACAGGGCATGGCCCTCAGCAATGCTAGTCCTGGGCTCTCTCTGGGAGCCGCCCTGGGGCCCACGGTGTGTCGTGTTCAGGCTGCACACCGCCAATCGTTAACCTGGTCTTCGTCTTTGCCTTTGGTAATAAAAATTGGAAAATGAAACTTAGGTGAACCAATAAAAACCCATCCTCTGCTATTTGAAAAGCAACTCGGAGCGTTTTGCCTGGTACAGCGACTCCTGGTGTTTAGTTTCATGTGAGAAGTTGGCATCTCAACAGAGTGATTTGTTTTTCTCTTTTTAAATAGTAAATCTGTGACATCATGGGCTGAAAAGCTGAAGCAGAACCAACCAAAGCGAGCACACATGGAGGATTCAAATCCCACCCTCGGGAGCGAGGAGGCCAGGAAGCCCCCCGCCGGGAAGGTAGGCAACTCTGCCACTTGCCCACCCCCTAGGGACTGTTGCCCCTCCTTGGTTTCGTTAATTTGTTCCACTGACATCTCTTCCTTTTGGTGTCTTGAAGTTTTGGAAACAATGACTGACTAAGAACTGAGGGATAAAATCCTGTCGAAAGGAGCCATTTCTTCATAAGGCACTCCTCTCCTGCCGCTCCCCTGCTTCCCTTCCCCCGGCCCTCCCTGGGATACAGGCTTCTTGAGGTCCCTGTCCTTGGAAGCTCTGGCCCATTAAGGACGGTGTGCCCTCATTTGGTGTGATGGCCCGAGGGCACTGGAGACTGGGGGTGTAGCCTGCTCTTTTCATGGAGTTAGGCTGGCTGAAAGGGAGAGAGTTTCACCTGCACTAATTTCTTCACTTTTACCTTGAGTGAAACTCAGTCTGGTGGAGACTTTCCCTCCTCTACTACACTTGGGTTTGTGACCCAGACCCTGGTGGACACCGGTTTCCTTGTTGTCTTGTGTGCTGTAGGCCGGCGCTCTCCAAACCATGCTGTGTGTTAGAGTCAGAGAAGGAGGTCCAGGAGCACCCACCTGGCCGACGACCCCAGGGGTCTGCCCTCAGCTGTGAGGGTGCCACCGGTGTCGGGGAGCTTAAACACTTTCAGGGGATTCTCGTGTGCTGCAAAGCTTGGGAGCTTCTGGTCTTGCCCACTGGCCCGCCTCTGGTTCTCTGATAATCCGGCCCAGTGATCAGATGCACCGAGACATGCCCTTGGGGACAGGTTGGCCGATCCCTCCCTCCTGAGTGTCCTGGTGCTGTCAGGGGGCAGAGGGCAGGGCTGTGAGGAGGAGAGGGTCCCTTGGAGTTTTCCTTTTATTTCCTGGACAAGTTTTATTTTTCCTTTATTTTTTAATAGGGTAATACTATTTTTGGTATTGGGGGAAGTCAGTGCTGCTTTTGAATTTTAAGTGATTTTTCAAGTAATGGTGTTGGTGAATTAAAGGCAGCACGCCTGAGTCATTTCTTTCTGCAGAATTGAATCAAATTCTGTGGATTCACAACAGTTGGAACTTTCCTCTTTGTTTCATTCCTCCTCTTCTGCCATTGTTTTTTCCCAGTTTTAGTAGAGCCCAGGGAATCCTGGTGATCGGAGTTCTCTTGGGATTCAATTTTCATTTACACGATGCTCGTTTATTTTGGGTCCTAGCTATTTTGTAACGTCTTGAAATCTGATATTGTTGAACATAAGGACTTTCCTTCTTTGTCTCCTTGGTCCTTTGTCTTGGACAGACTGCCTGTCCCCGGGCTCTAGAGGCATTAGCTGGGCTAGAGCACTGTGCTCCACACACACGAAGCTCAGTGCTTTTCACAAGTTCTGTCCTGTCCTTTCCATTAAACACTGGTCCTGTTTTCTTCAGCTAATGCCTTGTTTGCTCAGAAGATACAGAGGCAGCCTATGAGGTGAGCCCCAGCCCCTCCAGTGCCTCCAGCCCCTCCAGCGCCTCCAGCCCCTCCACTCTGTGTTGGCAGAGTGCACCAGCCTTTGCACGTTAAACTTGAACAAAGGATAAATGCTACTCGGGATATTTCTTTGCCTTCTGCAGTCATCCTCGCCTGGTCTGTTAAGTATGGAGGCTTGGCAGGCATTTCAACAGGCAGGAGTTTAGAAGAGATGAAAAGGTGATCTGGGTTTTCTTGTTTGATGAGAAAGCAGCTGAGCAGCACCTTGCAGGCTGGGGGCACCCACTTTCTTGGTTGCGGGTGGGGTGTGCTATCTGCTGTCTCACGTGCTGCTCTTGCAGTGGGTCCTGGGTGGTGGTTAGCAAGTTCAACTTCAGTACTTTAGCAGGAATTAAAAGTTTGATGGTGGTGGAACTGACGAGAAAAATTCCAGTAAAAACAGTCTTCACTTACCTGCTTGGGAACAGTGAGAGTGACAGGGATGGCGTGAGTGAGACTAGCTCAGGCTTTTTATGAGAATTGATGGTAAGGAAGAGAACAAACTAGCAAAACAACAAGAATAGTCTCAGACCCTGTGACTGGTATACTGGTTGCCAGAGGGGATAGGGAGACAGGGGTTGAGGGGGGATGGCAATAGTGTGGGGGTGAGTGGGGTGTGTGCACATACGGTGGGGTGAAGCTGCACTTCCGCACTTACATAGTTACATAAACTAGTGACAAATCAGCAAAACTTAAAGTTCATGTTAATTATTGCTTTGTGGTTTTCAGAGTTAATTTATATTGTATTATTTTTAAAGATTTATTTTTTAAATTTCATATATGCATACAAGAACTAGGGTGTAGGCCAGAGGTGCCGGGGGGAGGGGGTGTGAGAGGATTCACCAGAGACAGAGTGGGGAGCAGTGGTTGAGACAGGAGAAGTCTGCAATGTGGGTCAGCTCCCCGGCCGGGGATCGAACTCGTGCTGCAGTGGCTGGTGACAGCTTCATAGTGTTGAGACTTTACCCCTTGCGCCACCAGGGAGGCCCAATTTTTATTGTATTTTTAATGATAAAAGAAATTATTATAGTTTTTACAGTAATTTCTATACTAAATGACTTTAATTCCAGGCACCTCAAATTTCCTTTGGAAGTCCGTTTTCATTCTGAACTCATTAACATCTGCTCTCAGTTTTCTCCTTCTAGCTCCAAAATAAACTTCTGTAAATCACACAGGAAAAGAAAGTCCTTCACTGTTCATTGCTGTCATTTTGCCTTCTGGTCGTGGGGAGATTGGGGAATGGGGTGGATGGGAGGGTGAGGATGGGCATGGGGTGGGGGGCCTGCTTTCCCGCAAGTCCCCAAGGCTTCTCAGCATCTGGCTCCACATCATCTCCCAGTTCTTGGGCAGCAGCTGCCCCCAGGAGTTTCAGCTCTTGGCTGACGATTTTCTCTCTTGAATTGTAGTCTGATTGCACTGCTGCTGCCCGTCCACGTGCTTTTTACCTCTGTAAGCCAGAGGGAAGGCCACAGGCTTGGACGTCTAATTCAGGAGCAGGTATGGCGTGTGTGTGCTGCGCTTTGAGACTATCTTCTTAAGGTTTCTAGGCAACAGCTGTCTGCATTTCTCACGGCTGATAGTCACGGTTTACTTGGGGGGGGCTTTGCACACGTGCTGTGCATGGTGCTCCTTGTGGCTGGTTTCCTTCCTTAGCTGATTTAAGTTCCATAAAGATTGAAAGAAGTGGTTTTGTAGTTATTTCAAACAGCTATAAAAATTGCCTCATCATTTTTCAGGTGCTCCAAAACGAATTAAGAGATTCAAACGCTCACAACCCACTCTTGACTCTGTGGCGAACTTATTTTAGTCGTGAAAGCTTTACCTAGTGACTCCTTCCCCCACAGCCCCACACGCAGCTGACCAGGGTTAGCCTGGCCTCATGGAACTCCCCAGAACCCCCCACTCTGTCCGCCTTCACACTGTCACCCTCCCAGTGCCCCCATCACCTCCTGCAGCCTCTCACAGCCTCCCTCCTCCCCGCACCCTTCCACCTGTGCTCAGAGGTGGCCATACTGACCCTTTTTAAAGGTAAGTGAGATCAGTGGCTGCTGCTCCCCGCCCTGTGGAGGCTCTCCCCAGCTCCTCCGGAGAAGCACACGCCGCGGGACGGAGCTGGCTAGCTCCGAGGCCTTGCTTGCTGCTTCCGTTCCTTGCTCTGCTCCAGCAGGAGGCCGTTTGCTTAGACATACTCTCATTTCAGGGCTTTTGCCCTGGAATGCTCCCCTCCCCAGAGGGGCCGCTTCCTCATTTATTGCTAAGGTGGTACCCACAGATTGAGCCCTGACCACCCCCTGCACACAGCTACATGTTCCTTTTTACTGGAGTTTTACCTTATCAGAGCGCTGACCAACTTCTAAAGTACCACCCACTAAATGCGTGTCCTGTGAAGTCCTGTACAAGCCACCATGTAATGCCCCACAGTTCCTGTCCAGCCTGACACAGTAAATGCTCATTAAATGTTTCTGAATTATCAAAATCTTTTTATTGATTATTAGTCATAAAGACATGGTCATCCTTTAAAAATTTATTTAACTTGCACTAGTTTATTTTCACCTTCAATAAGACTATTTCAGTGGTAAATACAGGGTCATTGAGTCAGGACTCATGGTAAGGAATTTCGGTGTCATTTATTGGAAAAATTCCCGTATCTGGATAGGCAGAAATGAGTTCTTTTCCAAATGTAATTTCCTTTAGGTAAGTTTTTCTCGAAGCCACCTTTGTTCTCTTTCCTTACTCGTCTCTCTGGGTGTGTGTCCACACTAGGATCGATCTGCTGGGCGCTGGAGGAGAGCCACACACGTCCCCGTCTGCCCCGGACTTTAGAGGAAGCCTTCGCACCACCCCCTGAGGAGTTGTCTGAGAACCAGGTAGCTTAGATCACGTGTGAGTGTGAGAGAGCAAGCGTTACACAGTTGTAGTTAAGGACGCCATTTCATTGTTAATTTTGTATTTTTCAGTTTGTGACATATTGACAAAAGTAGGCCTTGGAATCATGTTGCCTGCTTTCGAATTCAGTCTCTGCCTTTGTGATCTTAGCAGTTACTTTAAAATGAAATTAAAAATGCCTCGATCGTGTTTTCTGAAATTTAGTGCTTATTATTTTAAATATGGTGGGAGGTCTTACAGATGAACTTTGTCCCTATTCTCAGACCTGGTGTTGGTTTTTCCTCCTGTTACACCCGAGGAATGTAAATATTTTGTTTACTTCGGAACAAAGAAACGAAGCTCTCAGTCTGAACATCGGTGTCCGTATCTCACTTCTGCGTTTTGATCAGCTGATGAAAGTGTAGGGGGGAAAGTAGGGGTCCAGTCGGAGTAACCAGGGGAACTGTGACCTGAGTGACAGACAGATGGGGCAAGGGGCTGCTGGGGGCCTTGCAGGCGTCAGGATCCAGGGACAGGGGAGCCAGCCTCAGTCCTTCAGCAAAGAGGGGAAAAAGAAATGTAAAGAGAGGGAGTGGGGCTGTCAGGGCTGCGGTCCCAGTGCTGCCTGGCTGCAGTGTCAGGACGTTAGGGCGCTAATTTTCTCTAAATTGTCTTTTCGATGCCGTTGATTTTTTTTTTTTAAAGATTTATTTATTTATGCATGCAAGAGCTGGGGTACAGGCCAGAGATGTAGAGGCGGGGGGTGGGGGTGGTTGAGAGGATCCACCACAGACAGAGTGGGGAACAGAACAGACAGTCTGAAACACACTGCTGAGGGGAGCAGCGGGCGAGTCAGGAGAGGTCTGCTGCGCCATGTGGGTAGCTCCCTGGCTGGCTGGGGATCAAACTCGTGTTGCAGAGACTGTGGATTGCTTCATAGCGCTGTGCTTAACCTCTTGCGCCGCTAGGGAGGCCCTGATGCCATTGATTTCAAATGGCCTGTTTCTTATTCCACCAAGAAAAAAATTTATCATTTAGACTGATACAGTGCCTCCTTATCTCTTAAGAGTTTATACTTTATGCTGATGGGAAGCTTGTAGATTTGAACCTTCATTGTTACTACATAACTCTCACATGAAAGGGAAACAGGAGTGAAGCAGGTGTGTTAGAACTTCATGGCAGGGACTGCCACTCCTCTCTGCACTCTTGGTCTCTGTGTCCCACATCTGTCCTCCTCTGGGCCCTGATAAGCTTTGGTGATGGGCATTTCTTTGAAAGGGGTAAGGGTCTTGGAGTCGAGTTGACAAAGCCACACAGGACTAGCCTGCTCTTGACTGTCTGGTGGGGACTGTTGCTGAGTGTGGCTGAGCCACTGTCCCTAAACACTGCTTCTCAGGGCTGCTGCTGTCCCCTCTGGGCTTTCCTTCCAAGCTGCTGACACTGGTTGGCCAATTTTCATGGCTTTGATTTTTGCTTATGAGCAGGCAATGAAGGTTATGTCACAACTGCTTCTTGAATGAAGAGAGTTGTAAGATGCCACTGATTACAAGAGGCACCCCCACTTCAGAGATGAATGTCTCCTCACTTAATATGAAAACAAAGAAGTCATGAAGCAGTGAGAAAGGGTCCTGGCTTTACCACAGGCTCTAAGGGGAATAACTGACGGCTCACCCGGCTAGCAGACAGGAATCCTCGGCTGCCAAAGGCTGTAAAGCTTGAAAGGGCCTTTAGGTGGTTGGCCTATAAAATGTAAGATTCCAAAGCAGCAGTACAGAAACTGGTAAATTTGAAGAGTTCACATTTAACAAATTAATGCTTTTAGTATATACAATAAAAAGTATAGTTATCTTTTTCACAATTACAAGGTTTATTTAAAAAATGTTAATTCATGGTAATCTGCTGCCTGGTAGGGTCTGGAGATGAGACTGGAGTTCAGAGCTACCCGTGAATGTTGTCTCGGTCTTTAATCCCGCTTGAGAGAGTGTCTATAGTTTAATGCGAGGCCTGGGGTTAAACAGTGCACCACACCCTGTGTGGGTCCCGTCTGCGATAATTTATATGCAGGGTTTAACTTGGAGCTCAGAGCTCTTTGGAACCTTCCAGGGCGGTAAAGCCCTGATTTCAAGATGCAGAAATGAGGGTCAGATCCTCTTTTACTCATTAAAAACAGGGCTCATTTTCTTTGGGTAACATAGTAACGCATTTTTGTCTGCCAAGTCTTTGAGAAAAAATATATATAGATGTATATATGTACACACAAAATGGCATTGATGAGGGGTTCTACCAGGTGTCCCCTTGAGTGAAATTTATCTGGCCAGAAGTTCTCGTCCAGCTTCAGATGTTTGTTACAGTCTCTTCTTACCTCAGCCTTGGGTTTTTATTCTGAGTTAGGGGTGACCAAGGATTTTAACGCTTTGGAGTCCTCATGGGCTGCTGAATAACTTAGGTTTAAATTGCTCCTCTAATTATTGATTGATTGGAGATATGAAAAAGTTTCATTATGAGAGAGACTCGTAATAGGTACTGACTTCCAAACCTGTGTTATGAATCTGATGGTCTAGATTGTCAATGTATTTAAAGTCTTTCAAAAATATTTTCGCGGTGCTGATCTTGATATCAGTTAACTTATTGTTGTCGATGCCATTTAAATAATTTTGTTTCATATCTTTAAGTTTAATACTGGTAATGAGATGACGCTACCATCACTGAAGGAAATTTATCATAAAAAACAAAGGGAAAACAAGCAGTTCCCTGAGAGGAACCTCACTTCTGCTTCCAGCCCAAATCATCCGCCAGAGGTAAAGTTGTCAGCACTGCTCAGTGACATGAAGGCGCTCGTGACTCTAACTTTTACCTTCAGCTTTACTCCCCCAGCAGATCTTAAGCCTACTCGCTTATAAGCCAGCAGAACGAGATCTGAGTTGAGAGGGAACCTTCCCGTTGTTCATCTCACTTCCAGGTTCTGACTCTGGACCCAACGATCCACATGAAGCCACAGCAGCGGGGGGTGGGGACTCAGCCCCCAGACTTCGGGGATGCCCTCGACGCTAGGACAGCCTTCTCGCCAGACTCTGTTCTAGAACCCAGCATGTCTAGCCACTCTGATATAGACTCATTTTCACAAGCAAGTAACATCACTTCTCAGTTACCTGGATTCCCAAAATATCCTTCAAATTCAAAAGCTTCGCCAGTGGACTCCTGGAAAACTCTTGGCTTCCAAAACGGAAGCAGGACCAGTTCCCCTTTGCTTCCGCGTGCACCATCACTGGTAGCGACACCTCGGTCAACACCGTGGAGGAGGGAGACACTGTCATGGTAACTGCAGCCTCGGTCGGTCAGTCCCAGCTTCCAGGTACAGCCAACAGTGCCCCAGAATGCGTTTCATTGACTTCCCTGGAAGATCCTGTCATAATGTCTAAGTATGTATTTCAGTGACTGGCTTGTAATGTTAATAGATTTTCTGTGATGTCTACTTAAATGATGAAAATGATTATTAATGAACTCAGTAATGTAGAAAATCTTAAATTAAAAATAGCTATAGATAGAGCACCTAAAAGTTATGTCTTTTTTTTCATTTTACTATTGTCAACTTTCGTATTAATATATTTTCTGTGGGTGTGCAAAGGAAAAACCGTATATTTTTGCTTTTGAGAATGGTTGTGTTCTCGGTTTCTCTTATGGGGCAGGGTGTGGACATGTATTTTCCTAATGATATTTTTCACTCTTGCCAACAGGATTAGACAGAACCTCAAGGAGAAGCATGCTCGGCACATAGCAGATCTTCGTGCTTATTACGAATCAGAAATAAATAGTTTGAAACAGAAACTAGAGGCAAAAGAAATTTCTGCAGTTGAAGAGTGGAAGAAAACCAATCAAATTCTGGTGGACAGGTAAACCTTGCAATTTCCCTGTAAAATATGTCTCTCTCTCCTTGGGTGTGGCTTTTCCCCCACGGTACTGCATATGGTGACCCAGGACACTTTGAAGACATGCTTTGTATTTGAAAATTTTAGCACAGAAATGGGTTTACCTGAGCAAATCTTCTGATGATTTGAACCAGTGCCTCCTACGAAACTGATAACTGACAGGAGGCCATTTGTCTTGTGTGAACAAAACACGTTGAGCAGATTTTGCACATGCAGAGCCGTGTCCTGTGGGAGGATTGGTACTGGTTAGGGGTTCCCTGAAGTGCTATGGCTGATGTCCTGGGGTGGTCCTCAGCCTTAATATCCAGACGTGCATATCTCTGAAAATAACTGCCGTTCCCACAAACCTGTTTAAACAACCAGGAGACTTGACACTGGAGAGACTCACTTAGCTCATTGGAGCTTTCACTGGTATTTGTAATAGAGTATTTGCGACATACTTTACCTTTTCTTTTTGCTTGTGAGGGTTGTAGCTATATTTATTGCTCCGGAACCTAAAACAGAAAAATCTAAAACATGAAACTTTGTGGGTTTTTTTTTAAATATATATATATATATATATAGAAAGAGCAGGTTTATTAGGGAAAGGGACAAGTTTGCTGAGAGAGGCCTGCATGGTTGCAGACGGGCGGCATTGAGGAGAGTGGCCTCCACTGAGGGAGGTCAGTGAAGAGAAGTCCCAGCAGGTATAGGTCACGGGCAGGCAGGAGGCTGCTGCCCTGCAGAGGGAGTGAGTGGGTGAAAAGAAGCACCTGCATAGTCACAGGTGGGCAGTGGGAGAGCTGCCCCGAGCCTGTGCAGAGACTGCACTGATACAGTCCTTTTCTCTTTGGGAGGGCTCACTCCTCTGTGGAGTGGCTGCTTGTTGCTGATGTTGGGTAACAGGTAACACTAGAAAGGGACCAGAGATTCCAGGGTGGGCCCAATCTCCTTATCTTTACCCTTAGGCCTGTGCTCTACTTCCTATAGCAGTCTGATCCTGCTTGGGTCTCCTGCCTTGTGATAAGGCACTGGTGCCTGAGGGTCACGACCTCTGCAGCTGGGTTAATGGTCATAAAACATGAAACTTTGTAAGCACACATCCCATTAACCTTGAGGGCAATGCTGTCAGTTCTCATCTTTTTTTGTTTTTTAAATTTTTTTAAGTTTTTTTTTTTTTTTTAAGATTTATTTGTTTATTTATACAAGTACTGGGTACAGTCAGAGACACGGGAGGGCGAGAGAATTCACCAGAGTCAGAGTGGAGAGTAGAACAGGCAGAATGAAGAAGTACACTGCTAAGGGGAGCAGCGGGCGGCAGGAGAGGTCTGCGCGCCATGTGGGACCCTCACCCGTCGGCCGGGGATGGAACTGGTGCTGCAGAAGCTGCGGGCAGCTTCGCAACCCAGCGCTCAACTGCTGCGCCACTGGGGAGGCCCTTAAGTTTTTTTTTTTTTTAAGATTTTATTTATTTATACAAGAACTGGGGTACAGGCCAGAGATGCAGGGGGGTGAGAGGATCCACCAGAGACAGTGGGGAATAGAACAGGCAGACTGACCGAAGTATACTGCTTAGGGGAGCGGCAGGCGAGACAGGAGAGGTCTGCTGAGTCATGTGTGTCTCTCCCTGCCCGACCAGGGAATCCAATTCATGCAGCAGAGGCTGCAGATTGCTTCATGGAGCGGGGCTTAACCGGAGACCCGGTTTTTCAAATTTTTATAAATTTTTTTTCTTAGCTTGTAGATTATCTTTCTATAGTTACTGTTCCCCCACATGCCACCCCACTCTCTGTGTCTCCCTCCCTTACCTCTCCCACTCTTCCCTTGATGCAAGCTGTGGATTGATGTTCAGCCCAGGCCTCGTCTTTTCTGGGAACCTTGTCCCTTTCCTGGGCGAGGACCTGGACTGGCTGTCCGCTGAAATGGCATCCCGAGACTTAGCTAACATTGGAGTACTTGTTTCTATAATACTTTTAAGGGAAGGGACTTTAGATTCTTTTTGTTTTTTTTTTTTTAAGATTGATTTATTTATTTATACAACCCGGGTACAGGCCAGATGCATGGGAGGGTGAGAGGACTCACTAGAGACAGCGGGGAACAGAACAGGCAGACTGACGAAACACACTGATGAGGGGAGCAGCGGGCACGACAGGAGAGGTCTGCCGCGCCATGTGGGACCCTCGCCGGCGGCCGGGGATTGAACCAGCGCTGCAGAGGCTGCGGACAGCTTCACAGCGCAGTGCTCAACCGTGTGCACCACCAGGGGAGACCCAGGGACTTTAAATTCTTACTTGCTTAGTTTCGATCTATGGTTTTAGATGTGGCCAGTTGGACAGTGCTCTTAATGAAGCTACTAGTCGTGTGAGAACTCTTGAAAATAAGAATAACTTACTGGAGATAGAAGTGGTAAGTAAGTACTCTGTTTTTTTGCTGTTGTTCTAATGACTTAATGTTAAAATTTTTAAAGTAAAATTTAAGGATTTAAACCTAAATTTTAGAGACAAATGATAGCTTTGCTGTAGTATTGGTTGTATTTTGTTTTCTCTTCAGGATATCTTACTGCTCAGTAGGTCATATTTGGAGTACTTCTGGCTTCATATGATCTTACAAAGTGTTACCCTTTAAAAATTTCATTTTTAGTTGGATTAATTTGCATAGCATATAACTCACCCTTTTAAAGTTACAATCCCTTAGCTTCGTTGTATTCAGAAGGTTTTGGCCATCACCACAATCAGTTTTAGAACATTTTTCTCATTCAGAAACCCACCTGGACCTTTCGGCTCAGCCCCACCCCACCCCGACCCTCCGCCGCCCCCAGCAGCCGCCTCTCTGTTTTCTGTCTTTGGGTTTGCAGCTGTGGACATTTTGTGTCCTTGCAGTCCCGCGGCATGTGGCCTTGTGGGCTGGCTTCTCCCAGGCAGCACCGCATCGAGGCTCATCCTGTGGCCTCAGGGGTCAGGGCATCTCAGGCTGGGTCGCTCTGTGAGGGCAGATGTCATTTCACCCGCACAGCCGTTAGGGCGGACATGTGGGTGTCTGGGCTGTTGTGAATCTAATAGTGCTGTGAGCGCCTAGGTACCAGATTTCATGTGGACCATGTCTTCCATTTCCTGGGTGTATTGCTAAGAGTACGTTAACTTTGAACTACTTTTTTCATTGGTTACCCAGTTTTATTATTCTACCGATGATCTTATAAACAAGGTCTTGGTGGAAAATTCCAGTTATGTTCATCATATTGTCTTTAATAATGTTTGGTTATCTTTTTTCTAAGCTGCAAACTTGGTAAAGGCGGGGACTTGCCTTTCTTGCTTACCTTATTTTCCTAGCACCCTTGTATCTGGAACCAACTGGATATACAAGGAATAATTGTAGATGCAGGGGAACTAATGTGTTACATTAGTTGTATCTTAGCTACTGAATATTAACATACTGAATATTAACATAGGGAAAGATAATAATCTTTTTCCTTCCTAAATGTTAATCTTGATTACAGTCATTTCCCTACTGCTTCCCATGGCTGCTTTTTCCTCATTAAAGTCACCTACATGGTACCTCAAACTGGTTTTCTGCTGACTTCTGACAGTCTCATGGGGCTGCTTTTCTAGTAGATGGATCCTTTTTAAGTCTCAGTCCCAGGACATGACAACACACTAAGTTTATTGATTTCCATTGATATATTTTGCATTATTATCTGGCTTTTAGTAAAATGTTTTGATGCTTACAATTTGGAAGCTACTTTTGAAGTATCTTTCTTCATTAAAAAATGTATTATCCTTTTCTCTACTTTGTAGAGTGATTTCAGAGAACGCTTCAGTGCAGCCACCAGTGCCTCCAAAATTTTGCAGGAACGAATTGAGGAAATGAGAACAAGTAATAAAGAAAAAGACAACACCATCCTTCGACTGAAATCTAGACTGCAGGATTTGGAAGATGCTTTTGAGAATGCTTACAAGCTCTCAGATGACAAAGAGGCTAGACTAAAACAGGAAAACAAAATGTTTCAGGATGTAAGTGACAAATAACAGTAACTGAATGGCGCTGTTGGTGAAGGTCACTTTAGATACTGAACCCTGACATGCTTTTCTGACTTTATCCAAGTTTATTTTTGTGGCTTTGCAGAACTGCAGATCCTCCTGAAGGAGTCAGTTGGGTCTTACCTTGAAGCAGGAAGTTGGTGCTTACAGAGCTTGGTGTCGCTCTGCTGTTTTGTAGGTCAGCTTCTGCATGCTTCTTAGATCAATAGCTCTGTGTCTGGCAGAGGAAAATGTACCAGATTTAGAATAGGTTTGATTGAATTTTTTTCACTTTGATTTAATTTTAGTTAAAGGATGAGTTTGTATAACATCAAAATCCAATTAGGCTTCAGGCTGCACATTCTTTTCTAAGTTTTTATACTATCCTGTGCTTTGTCACAGTGCAAAAAAATACTCTGAAAATTTTGGTCTTTGAAATATCTTTCCTGATAACTTGAGATTTTGTTCTTAGTGCTTTGAGTTTTTAAATTTATTTTCATGAAGGCAATAATATGTGAATGGTTTAATAGTCAAATCTCAAAGGAAAGACTTTTTGGTTGTGTCAGGAGTGGTGCTATATTTGGATGGCATTAGCGTGACTCTAACTGTCCCTGCTTGGCTCACCTTTGCTGGTGGTGTGACTCATTTACGTGAGGACATGTGTTTGAAACTTATGTCTGTCATTTTGATAAAATATGAGACATACGGAGAGTTTTCAAAATTGTATAAAGAATTTCCATACACCCTAGATTCCAAAGGTCAGCATTTTACATTATGTGGTTTATTATTCTGTCCACATATAGTTAGAGGCTTGTTTCTAAACTGAGTCAGTTGGAAATATAATGCACCTTTATCTCTAAATGCATCAGGGTGTGTTTCCTAAAAACAAGGAGAGGCTTTTATATAACTGCAGCAAAATTAGAAAGTTAGCACTAACATGGTAGTCTTATTTAACTTACATACTTTATTCAGTATTTGCAAATGATCTTGCTGGTGTTCCTGTGCCAAGGACACACACTTGTCCAGGACCCAGTGCAGTGTGCACATCCCATCCAGTCACTATAGCTCTGACCCCCTAGAATCTGGAGCAGGCCCTCCTCTTGTCTTGACTTTGTAACTTGACGCTGAGGATAGTACACTATTCTACAGAACTCTGCTTTCTAATGTGCTTGACCTTTGATTTTGATTTGGAGTCTTTTTCATGTTGAGTTTACTTTGCAAGTGTGGTGGGCGCATGTGCAGAGAGACGGAGCCGCTTGCCCAGCATGGCCCTCGTGTCCCGGTCATCCTCGCTCACGGCAGCAGTGGGCTGAGGCGCCTGCCCTGCCCTGGAGCCTCCAGATGGGAACACATGGGGGTTTGGTTTTCCTAAAGGAGATTCTCCCAGCGTCACCGTCAGCTGTGAGAAGAGGGGAGCCGAGATGCTCTCTGGTCATTTTCTCTCTGCTCTCCACTCCCTCCCTCTATTCCCTCCCTTCTGTGTCTCTGCGTGCTGTGGCCTGGCTGCCTGACCCTCCGAGTGGTCGAGGAGGGGTTCTTGAGCCGACATGCTATTTGAGGAATTGCAGCCAGTCCCCTGGGTCAGCCCTGGACCTCCCCCTCTACCACCACCGCACCCAGTCTTCAAGTTCTAAGCCTCCCAGGGGTGGAAGATGTCCTGCCAGGGCCTGGAATGTGGCCACCTGTGGGGTCCATGCTTGCTCTGGGAGCTTAGTGGACTCTCGGGACGGGGGAGAAACCCCGTAGTGGCACAGCCTCATGTGTGTGCTTACAAGGGGATTGCCTGATTGTGCCCGGCTTTGCAGGCTGAAGCTTTGCTCTGCAGGACCAGCTTAGCAGAAAGCAGTAGTGGCAACCCAAAGAGCCATGCAAATAAATGTCAATCTTTTATTATTTATTTATTCTTTTAAATGGTAGAATTTTTTTTTTTTTTTTTTTTTTTAAGATTTATTTATTAATGCATATAAGAACTGGGGTATAGGCCAGATGTGCAGGAGAGTGAGAGGATTCACCAGAGACAGGGCATGGAACAGAACAGGCAGACTGATGAAATACACTGCTGAGGGGAGCAGCAGGCGAGACAGGAGAGGTCTGCCTCACCATGTGGGATTCTTGCAGGCCAGCAGGGATCGAACCCGCGCTGCAGAGGCTGTGGACAGCTTCACAGTGCAGCACTTAACCACCTGCGCCACCAGGGAGGCCCCAAATGTCAATCTTTTTTATTTACTTATTTATTTTAATATTCTTTTTTTTTTAAGATTTATTTATTTATTTGTTTGTTTGCTTGTTTGTTTATTTATACAAACACTGGGTACAGTCAGAAGCGCAGGAGGGTGAGAGAATTCACCAGAGCCAGAGCGGGGAGCAGAGCAGGCAGAAGGACCGAAGTACACTGCTGAGGGGAGCAGCGGGCGGCAGGAGAGGTCTGCGCGCCATGTGGGACCCTCTTCCGGTGGCCGGGGAGCAGCCGGGGATCGAACGGGCGCTTCAGAGGCTGCGGGCAGCTTCGCAACCCAGCGCTCAACCGCTGCGCCACCGGGGAGGCCCTCAATCTTTTTAAAACACTGCTTACTTCAAGGGTACTGACTCAGGTTTCAAGTTGTTGTTTGTTTGTTTTTCAAGATTTATTTATTTATTTATACAAGCAAATGGGTACAGTCAGAATCGCGGGAGAGTGAGAGAATTCACCAGAGCCAGAGCAGGGAACAGTACAGGCAGACTGATGAAACACACTGCTGAGGGGAGCAGCAGGTCTCTTGCGCCATGTGGGACCCTCGCCAGCGGCTGGGGATCGAACTGGTGCTGCAGAGGCTGCGGGCAGCTTCGCAGCCCAGTACTCAACCACTGTGCCACCAGGGGAGGCCCTCAAGTTGTTTTTATTGTACTTTGAAATGAATCACAGAAGATTGCAAAAGACATCCTGTACCGCCTACCTGGCGGCCCGGGTGTGCACAGCCTGTGGGCTCTGTCCTTCGCTCTGTTCGTACAGACACGTGTTTTCTCTTGGACTTGACGAGTAAGCTGTGGGTGTGCCCTTTCACCCACACTCTGGTTTGCGTTGTCTAAGAACAGGGCTTCTCATAGGTCATCACACAGCCCCATGACGCTGACCCTCAGGCTGTCATCCAGCCAGCCCCTGCCCCCAGGTGCAGGCCTCTGATGTCATCACCTTTGTTCTACAGTGGCGGGTTGGCCGTGCTCTTTTATAACATTAGTATTTTGGAAATACATGGGCAGTTGTTATATGTGGACCATCCCTTGGTTGCCTTTACAGTGTTTGATTCTGTCTCCCTGTAGCTCCTGGGAGAGTATGAGTCCCTCGGGAAAGAACATGAAAGAGTCAAGGTAAGGGCTCCTCGCTCCTGTTCTGAGTCTTATGGCGCTGGGCTGGCAGTCGAGAGGCTGGCCCTGCCCCCTCCTTTCTGTCTTTACTTTGTCCCTTCTGGCTGTTACTTCACCTGTCTGCCCGTGCAACTCGCAAGTTAGCTGGATTTGCTAATTCCTATAAAAGCTATTTATGGAATGGCTATTGCCTTTTAGATGAGGCGAGGTGAGATCTTTAGAAGAGCGTAAGATACCAAATAGGTGGAATAATTATCTGTATTATTTAAGCATAACGTTCTTAAAATATTAGCTTTCTGTGAGGTGTTTGATTTTATTGACTATGTCTGGATTCCTGATTAAAGCTCTGTTTGGGAGCTACATATTTTTTTTTTTTTTTTTTTTTTTTTTAAATAGAGGCATGCTTTATTTATTTGTTTGCTGGTTTGTTTGTTTGTTTTGTTTATACATGCACTGGGTACAGTCAGAAGCGCGGGAGGGTGAGAGAATTCACCAGAGCCAGAGCGGGGAGCAGAGCAGGCAGAAGGACCAAGGTACACTGCTGTAGGGGAGCAGCGGGCAGCAGGAGAGGTCTGCACGCCATGTGGGACCCTCCTCCGGTGGCCGGGGAGCAGCCGGGGATCGAACCGGCGCCACAGAGGCCGCGGGCAGCTTCTCAACCCAGCGCTCAACCGCTGCGCCACCGGGGAGGCCCTGGGAGCTACATATTTTAATCCGGTGACCTCTCGTGGAAATGTCGTGAGTGGGATCCACGCTTTTCCATTGCAGAAGACGCAATGATCCCCAGGGACGAGTGCGAGGCTGCCTGGCTACATGAGTGCCTCTGCTGAGGGGTTGGCCATTTTCCTGAGGCTTCAGTCAGTGGCCAAGTCCTGATCCTCAGTTCTAATTCAGCGGAGTCCGCTGTCACTTTGGGCTGTTTCTGGTCGGGGAGGTGTGGCGGCACACCTGCTGCAGTGCTGTTTGTAGGAACCAGCGTCTTCTGTGCTCGCCCCTCGGCTCACCATTGGCTCTGTCTGGAGGCCGCCTCACGGAGCAGCTTCAGGGCTTGCTTTGTGACTCTGTGGTGTAGCCTGTGGTTGTTTGGTGTGATGCACTGGAAAATAAAAGGAATGCATCTTAATGTTCACCTCCAGTTATCTGAGCCTTTCCTTTATTTTTGTAGGATACATTGAACACAACTGAGAACAAACTCCTTGATGCTCACACTCAGATCTCCGACTTGAAAAGGTGAGCCAAGGGGCTGCGCTCAAGAGCAGGTGGCAGAGGTGACTGTGTTGGCAGGAAAAGAACGTTTGTCTTGAGGATTTCTAAGCACTCTGAGGTTAAGTTTTATCTTAGTTTTCCTCTGACACTGAAACAGTTTGATTTTTAGCCAAAGATCTTCAAATGATCAGGTTGTATTTCTTGTGTCTGAGAGATGTCCATTTCCCGTGTGTTAGGTATTTCCCAGCACCGGTAGGAACTAAATAACACTAAGTCGTTGGAAGTGATTTTAAGCCGCCCGCTAGCTCCCTGGCCGGTGCAGCAAGCAGCATCCATGCCTGCGCAGGTCCACGTGGGGACTCTGGGCAGAGCCACGAGGACATGGGCCCCGTGGCAAATGCTTAACGCCTGATTGGCTTTGGCGCACATCTTTGTATTTGTGGATGATAATGTCCTTGTGGGATTTTACTGCATCTTCAGGGCTTCCCAGAGGGGAGAAAGGAAGGCTGATGAGCTGTCCCATCTGCCCAGGTCTTTCTTGGTACACTAGTTCTGGCGATGGTTCCCTTATCAGACTGGGACAAAGCACCAGCCTTCTTAGAGCTGTTCTTTCTCAAACCTTCCTTGCAACAGCGTAGGTAAGAATTTGAATTTAAAAGATGAGATGAGGTCATAGCAGATTTTAAAAAAGCAGAAAGATGCCAAGAGCGCCTTGAAACAATCACTTGGCCACAGTGCTCAGTTTTTGTAAATAAACTTGAACACGACACCAATTAGATGATCTGCCCACAGGTTGAGAACTGTTCTAGAGTAGTTTAGCCTTTGCAGCTTTTAGAAAGTTCTTCTTAACAGCTGTTTTGGGAAGTCAAACCTGCTTTCTCTCTCGTAAAAGTGTCACCTTCAGGAGTGCGTGACCCCCCACTAGAGTCAGACGTCTCGCAGTTGTGATTTACATTAATACTTGAAAGTGTGTTTCCCTTAAATTTGTGCCCTGTGTCAGACCCACACAGTCCTACTTGGCACCCCCAGCCTCTGCTGCCCCTTGGGTTAGTCTGGATTGCTCCTTTGCGGGGTTGGGTGCATCTGCCTTTCTGCTGTTCCTGTTTGTGTTCCTCTCTGTCAGGTTTAATGGTAGCGGTATTTTAATGGAAGCGGTTTAAAGGAAAGGGGTATTTTATTTCCCCTTTTCTAGAAGGGTTGTTTAAGTAATTTGTAGTTGAGTTATATTATAAATCTGTTGACAATGTATTTAATTTATCCTATTGCTTCCAAATTAGAACAATTTCAAAACTTGAAGCTCAGGTCAAGCAAGTAGAGCATGAGAATATGTTAAGTCTTCGTCATGATTCTAGAACTCCCATGAGACCCTCACGTGCCAAGTAAGTTATTTTGTTTAATCTCTGTCAAGCTAAAAATAGGTGTACCCTTTTATTGAACTTAAAAACTCATCTCATCTGTCTAAATCATAAGAAAGTAAGGGTTAGAACTTAGCCATTATAGAACTTAGGATGTAAAAATGTCTGGTTACTAGATACTATAAAAGCTTCTGTACGGAAACATTTGCCAAAATGAGGAAAAGGCAGAATCAGATAGAAATAAGGTGACTTGGGGTGTTTTTGTTTTATTTTGTTTTTAAAGATTTATTTATGCTGGGGTGCAGGCCAGAGGTGTGTGTGGGGGATTGGTGAAAGGATTCACCAGAGACAGAGTGGGGAGCAGAACAGCCGGATCCACTGAAATACACTGCTGAGGGGAGCAGTGGGGAGACAGGAGAGGTCTGCTGTGCCATGTGGGTAGCTCCTTGCCACGATCAAACTCATGCTGCAGTGGCTGTAGATAGCTTCGTAGTGCTGAGACTTTAACCCCTGCATCACCAGGGAGGCCCTAAATTATAAATTTTAGATGATTTATAATTTAATAGTCGGACTCGTCACCAAGAGGTGAGCTGTGTGTTAAGGTGCCCAGGAGGGAGGTGTGGAGGGAAGGGATGTTGCAGACAGACAAACTAACCCTTCCAAGCCCTGGGGGAGAGAAGAGCTTACTCAGCTTTCTGTTTGAGGGGTGGGAAGGGGGTGAGTGGGGCCTGGATATGCCTGGCACGGCGAAAGCAGCCCCAGATGGAAGCACAGACCCAGCTTTTCGAGCTGATTTCATGCTGAGTTCTTTGGGAAGCCTTTAAAGGGCTTTATATAATAAAACGTCATCTGATGTTTACTTTTTAAATGTTCCAAGAGTTGAAGATGGGAAGGAAAAGAGAAACAGAAACTCGGCAGGTGACTGCAGTGCTGGGAAAGAGCTGCGCTGGCTGGGTGTTTACACAAGTGGACAAACGGGAAGGATTTAAGAGAGGCTCCGGAGACAGAGTCCACAGAACATGGAGTGACGATGGGCAGGGGAGGGAAGAGGTGGCGGGAGCGGACCCTGGGAGGGACCAGAGCTTCCACAAGAGGCATTTGCATTTAAGATTCATGTGACTCCCAAGTGGAAATCATTCAGATGATTATAAATTTGCTTTCAGAACTCAGAGTAAGGTGTTAGGTTGGAGCTGCACATTTTTCAGTTGTCTCTAGATAATGGTATAAGCTGTGCGGTGGCTGGGAGTGAAGTGTGTGTGGTGAGAGGTGGCCTGGGGTGTTGGTGAAGGGAGAGCTGTGGGGTAGATGGCGGGAGGCGGGCCGGTTGGGGAGTTCCCTGAAGAACGAGGGAGACGCGTGACTGTCTGTGGGTTGGCATGTCCACGCTTTGTGGAACATCTTCGCATCACACTCTGCAGCTGCAGCCCTCGACCACTCAGCCTGCTCCTGTCTCTGCGAGGCCCGTGGGCAAAGGATGGTCTCTACAGCGAAAATCAAAGGATAATGTTTCGTGACACATAAAAAAGAATGTGTGCGTATTTCAGCGTCCATGTGAAGAATATCTCATTGGGACACACCCAAGCGTATTCACTTACGCATCCCCTGCACTGTGTAGCAAAGCTGAGGACTTCTCAACAGATGCTGTCTGATACATGGATCCTGAAATACTCACGTCTGGCTCTTTACAGAAAACCTTTGTCGACCCCCGAACTAGACTGTTTATGTTCTTTTTTTTTTTTTTTTAATAGAGGCATGTTTATTTATTTATTTGTTTGTTTTTATACATGCACTGGGTACAGTCAGAAGCGCGGGAGGGTGAGAGAATTCACCAGAGCCAGAGCGGGGAGCAGAGCAGGCAGAAGGACCGAAGTACACTGCTGAGGGGAGCAGCGGGCGGCAGGAGAGGTCTGAGCGCCATGTGGGACCCTCGTCTGGTGGCCGGGGAGCAGCCGGGGATCGAGCCAGCGCCGCAGAGTCCGCGGGCAGCTTCGCAACCCAGCGCTCAACCGCTGCGCCACGGGGAGGCCCTGTTTATGTTCTTAAGAACATAAATTGGAACAACAAAAGACTAGTTGCAGAAGAAATAGCACGTTGTTTAGTTTGACGGCAGCACCTACAGATAGGTCTCCACAACTGCATGTGATATGTATCTGAAAACACCTTAAAGTCTGCCTGCACACGCAGACTGCCTTCAGATGCAGGTTGCTTTTGGGAGGAATGAGGATCAGGGAGGTACAGAGAGTTTCAGATGTGCCTATAGTGATCTCTTCTTTAAGAGTCTAGTGTGTATTGTGTGTGTGTGTGTGTGTGTGTGTGTGTGCGTGCGTGCGTACACATACAGCAGAGAACCAAGCTTTGTAGAGCAGATGGCCAGTGCCTGGGATTGTCTGTCTGTCCATGTGTACTGGGACTATTTTATATTTCTTGCCTGAGTGGGATTGGCGATGCCCAGTGGGACTGAAGATGTGTGCACCCCAAAGTCCCGGTTCTGGTTGTAGATTGTTGCCTGAGGAAAGTTCTTACGCTACTGGTTTTAGCATCGGAGAAAAGTTATGTGTTACAAACTAAACATCCACGAGAGGAGAAGGCTTAGTGGCCCGGGGCGTGCTCACACCCGAGGTGAGGTGGCTGCACGTGTTGGCGTGGGTGGTTCTCAAGCCTCACTTAGTGGAGAAGGCAGCAGTGGAGGAGTCAGTGCACTGCGCCCTCTGTGTAGTTTAAAAAAGCCAGGCCTGTGTAACTTATGTAGTACATTTACAAACATGTTCTAGATTGGTGTATTGGTTAAAGCTGGATTTGGGTGAGTGGTCGTTACAGTGTTCTTTGAGATCAGCTGAGAATATTTGAAGTATCTCCCATTTAAAAATTGAGGACGAGAGGAAAGGAGTGGCTGGGAGTGGAAGTGAAAATAGATAAAGGAGGCAGCTAAAAAAGCTTGGCTGGGAGAGGGAACAGGGTGCCAGGGACTCTGGCCTCATCGTTTCTGTTTCCTCTCTAACGTGGGAGCCACTGCTCCCCGTGAGGGTCCGGACTGGGGGTGCTTTGAGGAGAGTGGAGGGTGCGAGATGGTGGCTGATCACAGAAGCGGTGTGGGGTGTGCTGAACTGGGGACAGACACTGCAGTAACGCCCCTCTGCATAGTGGGGACCCTGCTTTCAGCAAAGCTCGACCAGGGCCTTCACCGCAGGAGAGGACGCGCGGGGAGAGGTGGGACACAGAAAAGGTGAGGCCACAGTGGAGGTGAGGTCCCAGGGCTGTGGTGATGCCCAGCGGGTGAGTAGGAGCATCTGCGGGGGAGGGGTCCCTAGTGAGACCAGGTGCAGTGCATATTCTCTGAAGAGGAATCATGTCACTGGAGAGCCGTGTGGACTTTGAAGCTGCCCAGATGTGGGTGGGGAGGGGGTGCAAAAAAGGAGACAAGTTCTGAGGTCCAGTGAGCTACCCGTTAGTGTTGAACTTTAGATGAACTTTCATAAGAACATTCTAGACCTGCACTGTTCAAACCAGTAGTGCCAAATAGCCACATGTGGCTATTTAAATTAATTAGCATTAAATGATGTTTTGAAATTGGCTTTCAGTCTCCCCAGCCGCATTTCCAGTCCTCAGCAGTGACTCGAGTGTGGCCTGAGAGAGTTCTGTTTGCACAGAACATTCTATTGGACAACACTGGCCTGGAGAGGTAGGGGGACACGCTTGCCTCAGCCCTGAGCTGCTGGAGGGTGTCAGGACAAGCAGGTGGCACTGGACACCTGGGGGCTCTCAGAGCCCTGGGTGGGGACTACCTGGTCTTGTCTGACAGTCAGGAGTGTTCAGGAGTCACCGAAACCTAAAATAACAGTTCAGTCAAATCTTAAAACTGTACAACATAGGGCCTCCCCAAGCGGCACAGGCGGTTGAGCACAGCGCTGTGAAGCTGTCCGCAGCCCCTGTAGCGCGGGTTCGATCCTGGCCGGCTGGTGAGAAACCCACACGGCGCAGCAGACCTCTCCTGTTCTCCCCTCTGCTCCCCTCAGTAGTGTACTTCAGTCAGTCCGCCTATTCTGCTCCCCACTCTGTCTCTGGTGAATCCTCTTACCCTCCTGTGCCTCTGGTCTGTACCCTGGTTCTTGTATGCACGAATAAATAAATCTTTAAAAAAAACCAAACTGTACAACAGCTTGAGTCGCTAGAGGAAGAGTGTTTCGAGCATGCAGATTTAGGACTCTGTGTAGGTGACCGTTGAGAGCAGGTTGTCTGCACGTGCACTCGCTGGGCCGGGCTAAGTGCGCCTCTCCCCACACAGCACGCTGGCTACCGCGGATGTCGGCCGGCGCAAGTGGCTGATCCCGGGGGCGGAGTACTCCATCTTCACCGGCCAGCCCTTGCACCCCCAGGAGGGCAGAATGGACCACCAGCTGGAGGAGCCCTGTATTCCTGGGTAAGAAAATTTTGTCACAGGCCATATTTAGAAACTCTGCTGTTCTCTTAAGGATTTCAGCTGCCTCTCGGTGTTCAGGAAAGTCTGCAGAGCCATCTTGTTTCTCTGAGGACTTCGTCGTGAAGCATCTGATCTTCACTTGACGGTGGCCTCGGGCTGGTGGTTGAGACAGGGCGTTGACCCTCCTGCTCCCCTTAGCCGGGCCGGAGCCTCTGTCTCTCCACCCGCCGTGGCAGCAGACCCTGTGTGTTCCGGGGCAGGCACTGGCGTGGGCAAGGTTTCCCATTCACACCCTGATGCCCGTACACGGGGGCTTGGTTTGGGTTGCCTTAACAGTCCCTGTGGACAGGCGCCTGAGAAAGCAGGTGTGTGGACCCCCTCCTGGAGTCTGCGTGCACCCACTCAGGGCTGCCCAGGGTGGGTTTTGGTGAGGCCCCTTTGCCCCATGATGGCCTAGCCGTGTCCTCACGTGGCTTCCCTGGAGTCCCCTCCCATGGTGAGGATCCCCCCTGTGGTCGTCTGGTGACCCTCAGGCCCGCCCCCAGCACCACACCAGGACTCGGGTCTCGGCGTGTGTGCAGGGGACAGATAGGCGGGCCCTAGCGTGTGTCTTAACAATTACTATTTAAGGTCCCGTTCTCCTCCGGAAAAGGATTCTCCATCTGCAGTTTCACCAGCAAGCTTATTGATAAAGAAACAGAGAGAGACTTCAGACACACCAATCATGAGAGCTTTAAAAGAATTTAATGAAGAAAAAATATTTAAAAACTGGGGCACGCAGACAGAGAAAGAGAGCACTTCCCACAGTACGTATTTTACTCTCTGTGCGTAGGTCTGGATTTTACATTCTGCTGTCTCCACTTCCATTACCTTCTTTAAAATGAAATTCCTCGGGCCTCCCTGGTGGGGCAGCGGTTGAGCGCTGGGTTGTGAAGCTGCCCGCAGCCTCTGCAGCTCCAGTTCGATCCCTGGCTGCTCCCCGGCCACCGGAGGAGGGTCCCGCATGGCGCGCAGACCTCCCCTGCCGCCCGCTGCTCCCCTCAGCAGTGTACTTCGGTCCTTCTGCCTGCTCTGCTCCCCGTCTGGCTCTGGTGAATTCTCTCACCCTCCGCGCTTCTGACTGTACCCAGTGCTTGTATAAATAAATAAATAAATAAATAAGCAAATGAATAAATCTTTAAAAAAAAACTGAATACCTTAAAAAAAAAAATAAAATGAAATTCCTCAAATAATGAAATACAAAGCTAATTTTTCTGTTGTATCAACCCTGCTTTGTAGGTAATTGAATTTCTGGGGTAATTTATCACAATCACGGCATAACGTGTACCTTTCATACAAAACAAATCATATATTACGTTCTGATCATTAAAAATATGTGGCATTCTTAAGGAAATTTTAAAAATTTGGACCTCCATTTGTCCTGCACACATCACAAAGTCCTGAAGACATCGCTCTCCCTAATGAGACATCACATTTCCTCCTCGTTCTTTCTTCTTGGCGCCTGACCCTCCCCGCCCGCCCCCTTTCCCGGGTCAAGAAGTATCTTTAATACTGTCTTTCCCAGGTGCAGGGCTCAGCGTCTCCCGTCCTGTGTCTGGTGTTGGCACGGGTGGGCCTGCAGTGCATCGTGGACGCCCTCCGCTGTGCGTCTCCAACATGGCGTCTCCTACTAAATAAATTAGCGACCTGTTTTCTAAAAATAAACTCTCTTGAAAAATTACCTTGAATGTCAGTTGTAAACAGGGAACCAGAATGATTTAATTATAGTCTCCCACATTTTTCTTCATAAGCATTTGTATCATTATAATGTGGTGCATTTGCAAATAATCATTGCAACCTAGACAGAAGACTCGCCAGCTTCATGTAGCCATCTGTTAATAAAGGCAGATAATCGAAGTCGGGTTGCTGTTTGATTTCTTTTTTTAAGATTTAATTTTTACATAGAGGAACTGGGGTGCAGGCCAGAGGTGCGGAGGATGAGAGGACTCACCAGAGACAGAGTGGGGAGCAGAACAGGTGGATCTACTGAAATACATTGCTGAGGGGAGCAGCGGTTGAGACCGGAGAGGTCTGCTGCTCATGTGGGTCACCTCTGTGGCTGGGATCGAACTTGCGCTGCAGTGGCTCCGATAGCTTCATAGTGCTGAGACTTAACTCCTGTGCCACCAGGGAGGCCCTATTGTTTGATTTTTGAAATAATTTTAATTTTTCAAATTTGTTTACAGAATTAGCACATCTCCGGCAAACTGAAACTTCAATCAGTGCAAGTCGGTCCCCCGAGAAATATGCCCAACAGAGGCCAAAGAGACTTAATTCCGCCTCGCAGAGGTCGTCCTCCCTACCACCTTCAAACCGGAAACCCAGCACCCCAAGTAAGATTTCCTTGTCTTCATCTCGGGACTCAAAGGCTGTCGATCCAGACTCCCCTCCAGTGTTTTCCTGTTCCTCCTGCCTGGCACCCCGTATGCCCAGGCGGCCCCCCAGATGTGGTCTTCTCGTGCTGACCTTGTCTGCGGGGACGTGAGAACTCCTACCGGAGACTCCGCGCCGCTTTCTGAGGGAGATAGATTTGTGTCCGGCAGGTGGTTTTGCCCCTAATAGCGCTTTCTGGTTGTTGAGACTGTAGAGAGCTCCTAAGGAGGCTTACACGAGCCCAACCATGGTGCTGCTGCTGCGCGTGCCTGCCTGACGCCCCTTGGCGCCAGTGGCCTGTCTGCAGCCGGTCACTGGCAGACGTCGACTGAGTCTGCTCTGGGCTTCGTGTCTCGTGTTCCCACGGCTGGGGGGTCGGGAGCTATCGTGTTGGCGGAACCTCTCCAGGGCACCTGTGTTCCCTCTTATTTCCAGTCGACTTCTAAAATCCTGAAAAACCAGTTTTGAGCTGGAGTGCAGAAACTGCTTCTGGTGCACTGGTGGTGGGCAGTGGCTCCCTCTTGATGCTAGGGCTAGGAATCCTTTCTGTTTTGTATAATCTTTTCTGTCTTTCAAAAAGTTTAGCAATGAAATTGTATTCCTTTTAAAGTTAAAGAAGTACTGAAAAAGTGTGTCTGCCAACATAGCGTAAATTACATGGAAGGAAAAGAATATTTCCTCTTCATTTTCTTCTGTAGCGAAAAGAGAGATTATGTTAACACCAGTGACTGTGGCTTATAGTCCAAAGCGATCCCCTAAAGAAAATTTGTCCCCAGGATTTAGTCATCTGCTTAGCAAAAACGAGAACAGTCCTGTTCGGTAAGTCTCTACAATTATAGAATAAAATAAATATATATATTAATGACTTTTAAAATGTCAATTTAGGCTTCTAGCTAGCACTAGTGTTTTAGTTGCCAGTGGCTCTTGTAGATGAATTAAATCATTTAAATGATTGGTATACTAAGAGCAGACAGTATTATATAAATACATATGTGAAAATAGTTTTTAACCAATGTAAACTGACTACTACTAAATTTCAATACTGCCTTCAAATCCCTCCAGCCTTTGGATGTAGAATGATAATTCTTTGTTTTCCTGAAAAGACTTCTGACACAGGGGCATTTCTGAGCCATTTGTGCAGGGTAGCAGCGGGCTGCCTGCTGTGGCCTGGTCGGGGCTGAGCTGGATGTCTCTTCCTAGGGATGGGGGCGGGGGGTTATCCCTGAAGCACTCTGAGCCTCAGATTCCTCCTCTGTCAATGGGGATGAGACCTGCCCTGCTTATTTCCCAAGGTCATGATAAAAAAAGTCAAATGACGTCACGAATGAGTAGATGCTCTTAGGCTCCGGTATGGAGCTGTAACTTGGTGCTGGAAAATGAAAATAACATTTCCGTTTTAGACGAGTGTGTTATTACCAGCTTTCTTTTTACAAAATGTGTAAATATGTGAGTTAACTGGGTGCCAGCTCATATTTCTAGTAGAGGTAGGGAAAATCAGTCAACATTTTCTTCTCACAAGTAACTTGCTTCATTCAATAGATTTGATATACTTTTGGATGATTTAGATACTGTTCCTGTGACTCCATCACAACGTACCAACCCAAGAAAGCAACTCCAGTTTCTTCCTCTAGCTGACTTGGAAGGTATCTTTTTCTAAAACATTATCAATTATGGGTTTAGTCACTTCGTGAGTTTCAAGGTTCTAAATGTTGCAATGTCCTGCGCTTAGCAAATATTTTTCTACCCAGGGGCCTTTGACAGTGAGCCCTCGGGTGTGCACACGGCACGTCAGCGGTGGCCTGGCGTGGAATAGTGGGGACGCGGGGTCCAGGGGCGTTGCTGTCACTGCCAGGGCCTCGCTGTTCACCTTGTTTCTCTCCTTCTATATTCTAGAATTTATATGCAACTGGGGCTTTGGGTAATTTTTTCTTTTTTATCATTTATGTTGTAAGTTTGTAGCAGAGTTTGTGTGAAATCAGTTGGGTAGGGCCTCAAATGTTGATCCTCTAGTGTTTGTGTATGTCTGTTCCATGTGTTTTGGTTTTTAAACTTTTTTATCTCTGTAAGTTTCAAGTTCATTAAATTTACAGAACAGTGGCTTCCGCTCATTTGGGGGAGCTGTGCAGGTTGTCAGACTGAGGGCAGGGCTCTCGGAGCTCCTGTGGAGAAAATAGGACAGTTACATCTCTTTTCATGACCTTTTTTGATCATTTAGCCACCATTTCCAGAGTGTGACGTTGGGTGACATTTAGTATTGTGTGCGATCTGCTGCAAAAATTGATAGAGAAGAAAGCAATCTCTTTTATTTCTTGACAGAAAAACAATATTCAGAAAAAGCTGCCATCGTCCATGTGGATCACGGCTGTTTCCCCGAAGTGCCGCTGGGCGGGGTGAAGGCGGCGTCTGCGCGCTCAGCCTGGGAGAGGAGCAAGCCGGACAGCTGCGAGCCGTGCAGGCCTGAGGCGGCGGCTCACGGTGTTGACTTTGAATATACAGCGAAAATTAGGACCCTTGCTGAAACAGAGCGCTTTTTTGACGAACTTACAAAAGAAAAAGATCAGGTAAAAGCAGCAAAAATTTAATGTTTTTCTGACCTCAACGTTCATGTCTGAGGACCAGTGAGGAGGAGCTGAGTCAGACACGACCGGGAAGTGAGCGTGTGAGTGGGGCTGTCCTCGGCCCCTACTGCGACGGGGGCCTTGGGCGGAGGTAGAGCCGGCAAGACACGAGGCGGAAGCCGTGTCTTCCACTCTGCGACAGACCTCTCGGCCAGCAATTGGAATTCTGTATTCTTATTTAGACGTTTTTTTTTTGTGTGTTGACAGATCGAGGCAGCGCTGAGTCGAATGCCTTCTGCTGGAGGACGCGTCACTCTGCAGATGAGATTAAATCAGGTGAAGTGTCGTAGCCTGGGACTGCTGTAAATGCTGCTGCTGGTCAGCACCCCCCAGGCCCGGGAGGATTTTTCAAATTGGGTTTTGTGGGCACACTGAAGCTGTGGGTCAGACTTTGCCTTTACAGGAAAATGTTTAGAACCACATGCTGGCTTTCAGGAATAAAAACTGATATCATCCTTCAAGAACCAGGTGTTCTTGGCCATTGTGTTTTCAAGAAACTAAGCTGTGCGCTAGTGACAGTACGCCTTTTATGAGACTGCTAAGGTGATGCTTGCAGACTAAACCTCCTTGTTTGTGTCTGCATTTCCCTCCTGTCTGTAATTTATTTCTGAACCCTATCCCACTGAGTAAACAGTAAAACTGTCGCACTTTGCGGTTGGGAGATGTGGATGTGAGAGCAGAGCTGGAGTGTTTCTTATAGTTGCTTTTCAAAGCGAATTAAAATGCATGAACATTTAAAATCTGCTCTTTTGTAACATTTTGGACATAATAGCAGCAAGGACATATCTCATAATTGCATGCTTTGATTTTCGTGCCTTTATAGGATAAGATCCTTTTCACGTTGATCTGTAATAACAGAAGAACTGAAAGACACAGAGAAAACAGCAGAGAGCAGAGGTGTTTTTCTAGCACTCATGTCCTCAGCTTACCATGTCTTTTCTTGTTCTGAAAGTTTTTATTCAGCAATTTGTGAAACTACTCTACTTGAAACACTTCTTAATATAATTTCTAGAAAGGTGGAAGGAAACTGGCTGCTGCTCTGAATCAACTAGAGTATCTGTTTAATATATTTTTATATGATCATTATATCTCTTAAAATAAGACAGGGCATTAGTTTCTGTTCATATATGTCAAAGCTATTTTATTTAGTCCAAAAGAAGAAAAATGGCAGAAAAAGGAGCTGAGGATACCTACATACAATTCATATACAAAAAAGTAAAATTGGGGGGGCCTCCCTGGTGGCGCAAGGATTAAAGACAGTGCTGTCAAGCTATCGCCAGCCACTGCAGCGGAAGTTTGATCCCTGGCCAGGGAGCAACCCATATGACGCAGCAGACCTCTCTCCTGTCTCACTTGCTGCTCCCCTCAGCAGTGTATTTCAGTAGATCTGCCTGCTCTGTTCCCTACCCTGTCTCTGGTGAATCTTCTCACCACCACCCCCGCCCCCCCCCCGCCCCCCCTCCCCCGTACCTCTGTCTCACACCCCAGTTCTTATATGCATAAATAAATCTTAAAAAAAAAAAAAAGAAAGTAAAATTGGGCCAAAAAAAATAAAACATATTTAACCTCACCAATGAAAAGCAAAAGAAAAGTTCCAGGCTCATGGCAGAAGCTGTCAGGAAGCCGTGTACCGCACCCAGCCCAGGGCCCTGCCTTTCCTGGGCCCTAGAGTTTCTGCTTCTGAGAGTGAGTCTTAAAGCAACACTTACATGTGCAGATGTGCTTAAGATGATTCATTGTATTATTTATGATACCCAAAATTAGAAAGAACCTACATTTATACTAAAATATTGGTAAATATGGTGCATCTGCTGAAATACTGCTCATTAATCTTAATGTCATAGAAGGATATTTTTGAAGAAGAAAAGCTCAACTGAAAAACATTTTGAAGCAGAGAATTTGATTCGGTATTTTTCTTTTTTTAAAATTTTTTAAAAGATTTATTTATTTATGTATACAAGAGCTGGGGTACAGGGTACAGGCCAGATATGCGGGGGTGAGGGGAGTTGAGAGGATTCACCAGAGATAGAGTGGGGAACAGAACAGGCAGACTGACTGAAATACACTGCTGAGGGGAGCAGCGGTCTGCTGCGCCATGTGGTGGCTCCCTGGCCAGCTGGGGGAGGGGAGGGGAAGCTGCAAATTGCTTCATAGTGCGGTGCTTAACCCCTTGTGCCACCAGGGAGGCCTCTGATTCTGTATTTTTCACAAATACGATGTGCATGTTGGCAGGGAAAGCAAGCTTACTTTTTGCAATGTATTTCAGTAGATCTGCCTGTTCTGTTAAAGAGAAAATAGTCCTGTTAAAGAGAAAGAAAGTCAGTTTTCTTTCACGATTTAATTGGCGTTAATACTGAAAAACTTTTATCTAACAATGACAAATGTATTCTAAGTATTGTTTATTTAACAATAGTTATATATATATAAAGTTTTGTTATATTGATTCATTATGAAATCTCTTGTTCCTTGAAAAAGTGCTTTTCAGGGCCTCCCCGGCGGCGCAGCGGTTGAGCGCTGGGTTGCGAAGCTGCCCGCAACCTCTGCAGCGCCGGTTCGATCCCCGGCTGCTCCCCGGCCAGCGGAGGAGGGTCCCGCATGGTGCACAGACCTCTCCTGCCGCCCGCTGCTCCCCTCAGCAGTGTACTTCGGTCCTTCTGCCTGCTCTGCTCCCTGCTCTGGCTCTGGTGAATTCTCTCACCCTCCTGCACTTCTGACTGTACCCAGTGCTTGTATAAATAAATGAATAAATAGATCTTAAAAAAAAAAATTAAAAAAAAAAAAGTGCTTTTCAGCTCCCTTTTAACTTAGAAATTTTGTTAGAAGAAAGTTGCTTAATTTACACATCAGGGAACTATGAGCACGTGTCCATTTCCTCTGCTGTGAGGTACCTCTGAGTCCTGTCCAGTGTAGTCACGGTTACCTCTTTTTGCTGGGTGTCTGGCCTTCACCAGGAAGTCTGCCTGCTTAGTGCACCAGAGACACAGAATATTTTTAAGGGGCAGCAGTTATTTTTTTTTTTTTTTTAAAGATTTATTTATTTATTTATTTATACAAGCACTGGGTACAGTCAGAATTGCGGGAGGGTGAGAGAATTCACCAGAGCCAGAGTGGGGAACAGAACAGGCAGACTGACGAAATACACTGCTGAGGGGAGCAGTGGGCATGGCAGGAGAGGTCTGCGCGCCATGTGGGACCCTCCCCAGTGGCGGGGGATCGAACTGGTGCTGCAGAGACTGCGGGCAGCTTTGCAGCCCAGCTCTCAACCGCCGTGCCACCAGGGGAGGCCCAGCAGTTATTTTCAATGATTGGAAAATTGATTCCCGTTCTTTAGTTTAAAGAAAATAATAAATGATACAATGATTTGTGAAAGAAATAAAATAATTTTAATGTTCATATTTGCTCTTTTGCTAAAAGTCAAGTCAATTTGGCGGTAATTATAGAATCAACCTGTCATAAGAGTGCTAATGAAACTTTTCCCATTATTTTCACTCAGGAAGCCCTGGAAGATCGTTTGGAAAGGATTAATCGAGAACTGGGTTCTGTTCGAATGACATTAAAGAAGTTCCATGTTTTGCGCACTTCTGCAAATCTTTGAGATTTGTAGGCATTAAATTTTGAGACATTTTGTTTGCACTAATGTATAATTATGCACTCAGAAAAGACGCAAATTATTTTGTACTGTTTGTAAGCCTTCAAACGGTGGTTTTACAATCATGCTATTCTTACACTTGCTATTTTATACTTCAAATGGCCACATATTTTCAAGATATTTTTGTTATGCTCAGGAATCTCTTGTATATTTTACTATTTAAAAAGTTTTATTTTTAAATAGTACATGTCTCCAATTTATATCAAGAATAAGAAAATGTAAACAGGAGGCAGCTTGTTTCTAAACAAATAGTGTTACCCTTTTACAATGAACTTTGCACACCGGTTTTATAAACTTGTTCTACATTGTGAATATGGTTCTTTTTTGACAATAAATGCTAAGAGCAGCTTCCATAATGATAGACTAGTACATGCTGAATGCAAAAAAAAAAAAAAATTACAGTGCACACTGAGTTTTAACTGTTTAGTTTTTTAAAAAAATGTTGAAACCTCTATCTTAGGGTGAATATTAGAATCGAAATAATGGAAATATTGCAAGTAATGGAATATTGGAAAACTACATGGTAATGCATTTTGTTTCCTTTAAACTTCATTATTGTAAGGAAAGAAAAGTTCTCTCATTTTGTCATACATACAGCACCTTTTGGGAAAAGTCAGCCAAATGGAGAGCTGTGGCTTTCTGCCCCTCCTGAGTGTACCTTTGCCACCCGCCCTGGCCAGTGAGTTGACAGACCGAACTTTGGTGACACACAGGCCACCACTCAGCGCTGGTTTCCTCAGTGTACTTGGCCTCAGCTATTGGTCATGTTGGCACGCAGACGTCGTTAGCCCCTCTGCACCCGCTCCACCCCTTCCACATAGGAGAGGAACCCCCAGCAGGTGCCATGGGACACCAGGTTTGGGGCAAGGCCCAGCTCGACTTGTCAACGCCCAGGCAATGTGTGGGGCTCGGGCTCATTGCCTTTGACTGGGCCCTGCTGCAGCCTCATGCCCACTGCCTCACTCAGCACCTCCTGGCTCTCCCGGCAGGGGTGTAGCCTCTCTGCTGGTCAGTTCCAACCCATGCCCCTGCCCACTTTTTGGTGGCCACTCGAAGCGCTGCCCACATACCCCAACTGGGTACATGTTGATTAACAGGCTCATCCCAAACCTTCACAGTTGATTCCCATTGAAAATGCTCAGGGTATAAGTTCTGGTTTCCCTTTGAGCTGCTACTCCCTTGCATGTGGCTCTCAATAGCAGGTGTTAGAACCTAGCTGCTAGCCTGACGGGGACCCACGTGTCTTGGAGCGGGATCTCGTATACCTTGCGTACCCCTCACCAAAGCGTCGCCTGGCCAATCTCTAGGCCTGGTCACCATAGCCATGCTCCCTTCTCAGCTTGAGAGGACTCTCAGGGAGGAGGGGACCTGACAGCTGCCTCTCTGGCACCTTCTCCAGAACTGAGCCTTTGCTCCTAGTTCCTGAAACCAGTTACCAAACAAGTAATCAAAATTACTTGTCAAGAGACTCAAGTGCCTTTATTCTTGGTATTTTCCCCTAGCCTTTTCTTCTCTTCCGATCACCTAGTTGTAGTAAAAATGTTTGTTTTGATTGAGCCTCATAGAGCTTTGTCAAGACCTGATAAGGGGATCGACTTTCCGGTAATAATCCCTTTGATGTGTTCTGTATGTGACATTAAAAGCTAACCTGGTATCTCGTTCCTATGTTTATTGTAAAACCTGCTACATACTTAAGAAAAGGAAATTGCCATTTCAAAAGAGATTATAGTTTTATCTTGTCAAGGAATTATCTTTTTAGTAGTCTGTATTGGCTTATTTGAGAAGAGAGATTAAACCCCATCAAAAACGTGCCTCTTGCAGATGCCATATGCTTTGATTGAAGTGTGTAATAATAGATTGGAAGTATCAGTTGCTTATTAAAAAGGTGGAAATTTTTTTTTCTCCCTAGCCATGAATGGGGAAGCAAAGGAAAATCCTTGTGGCAGTCTGCTGAGGTCACGCTTAGCTCATGACCCCTGGACCTAAAAACACCTCTAAAAGCAGAAAAAGTGGCCATCCTAACAGGCAGCTGTTACCCCAGGGAGGGAACCTGCTTTTGTTGCCAGCTGGGCCCAAGCTGCAGTTCGTGAATCTTCCACGTCTGAGAAGTGCCTTTCTAAGTGCAGATGGAGTTAATGCCTTCCTCACACCTGCATCTGTCCCTTCCTTTCCCTTCTGAAGCCTCCTGAGGTGGGGGAATGCCTTGCCATCCTCCTCCCTCTGGGAACCCCCAGTTAAAACTGAAATGTTCCAGCACAAGCAGTAGTTGCTGCAGTTAATGTGTGCTGACAGCAGCTGCTGTGCAGGGGGGCAGAGAGCTGGGCAGCACCCCTGGCTGTGGGCTGCCTCCCTCCAGTAAGTGATGGGGTACAAGGACTAGAAACTTCCATTAGGGGACAGGATGTCAAGTGCCTGGTGTCCGCAAGTTCCCATAGATAGTACATTTCATATTCTGAGTTAAATAGACTCTTGAAGTAGTGATTTAGTACTTTTTTTGTATAGAAAAGTTTTGTCCTCAGCAGGTGACTTTAAAACTACCCTGTGTTGGTTGACATTTATGTTCAGTTGTCTAAGATGTTCTTGCCAACTCTGCAAAAAATGAGCTTTCTGGGGCTTTAAATATGCTTCCTCATGGTGTGAGTTTATTTGAATGACTAGCAAAAAAATAACCTGTCACATTATTGGAAGACACTTGGATCTTAAAATATAGACTATTTCCCTTAAACGTATTGCCAATGTAATCAAAACAGTTGCTCCTCTGAGTGTTGCATAGCCCAACACCTAAGGGTGATGGCCGGTCAAGGCAGTCGGCATCCTTGGAAGCCCCCAGTCCTCGGAAGATCCAGATGAAGATTGACATGTTTTTAGAGTGATAACCCAAACGTGTTCCCTTTTTAACTCAGAAAAGCCAGGTGCTTTGCTGCTATGTGCATTCCGAACTCTGCACTTACATTTGGAAGGTGTAGTAAGTGGAGTAAAATTACATGCCTTTGTCGTTTTTTTACATATCGCAAAAGCATTTTCCACTAAGGTTTAATGTGCCGCTCATGCTATGAGTCTTTAAGCTTTAAACACCACCTCCCTAGAGGCCTCCGGGAGTCACAGGGTGGCTCCCATGTACCTGTCTCGATGGAGCAGATTTTGCAGGAAATCTGTTCCCGGCCCGGCGAGAGCTCTGTGGCAGTTTGACGGCATAGAAGACTCGTCAGTATTCTGAGGTCTCGTGTTACTAAGCCCTTCCCTCCGACCTGTGTTTTTCTTTCAGTAGACCCCTCAAACAGGAGGACTCTAGCCATAAATGTGCATTTGAGGGGTATTACATCATGTCACTGCTGTGACTTAAGTTTTGCTGTAAAGGTGACCAATCAATCTTGCTTCATAGGATGCTGCCTGCTGACTGTGCAAAGATCACTGCTTGTTGCAGTTTTAAAATGGAGTGGGAGGGCAGAGCTCCGGGCTGTTCGCTCTGAGCAGGGCCAGGCTGCATGCTGGATGCAGGCACCCACCAATAAACACCTGTGCACAGCCACCCTCTGCGGCTTTGCGTGCTTATTTGTACTTCATCCTGCGTGGAGTTCTCCGGGTCCTGGCTCCAGTGCACTCTGCAGCTCGCACTGGTGTCCAGCGGGGTGCCAAGAGCCTTGCTAGGGATGTGTGGAAGTCTCTCAGTGGGTTTGAGGGCACCTCTGGGTGGAGGGAAGGAGCCGAGGGCTGCGTGAGGGGATGCCCTCTGTGTGCTGCCCGGAGGCCGGTACTCTGAGGGCAGCAGGTGATGGCTTTCCTGGCCAGTGCTCACGCCTCAAGGAGACCAAACGCAGGTGGTGGCTTTGCGCGCCCCACCTCCCCTGTCCCATTTCATCCTGGGTTTCCTGTCGCTTATGCCGGCCCTTCCCTTCCCGCGGGGCGCCCCCGCGCCTCCTCCCCGCCCGGAACTCGGCGACAGGTGAGCCCGCGCCGGGGCTGGGCGTGGTGACCTCCACGGCCTCAGACCGCGGCGGACGAGCCCGTCCTTGCTCCGCAGACACACTGGGCCGCCGCGGCAGCCTCGCGCTGTGCCCTCGCGCGGCGGCGAGCCCTGGCGGGGCGTCCGGAAGCTCGTGGCGTCCCCGCGCCGGCCGGCTCCGGGCGGGCTTCCCGCGCGCCCGCTGTCGCTGCTCCCGGCGGCCCCGCGCCCCGTGCCCCGCGCGGAGCCGGCCGGCGTGTGGGGGCGCCCGGGGCCCGGCCCAGGCGTGGGGCTCAGCCCCCCGGCCCGCCGCGGCGCGCCCCCCGCCCGCCGGCCTCGCCGCCGCCGCCCGTTGATGGGCCGTTTCTCCCAGAGCCGGTCCCGCGGGCGGCGTCCGCGCCCCCCGCGCCGTCTCCCCGGGCCCCGCGGGCGTCGGCGAGTCCCCGGGCCGGGCGCCCCGCGTCGGAGCCGGGCGGGCCGGGCGGGCCGGGGCGCCGGGCAGGTGGCTTCCGGCGGAGCCGGCCCGGGCGGGCGGAGGCGGCGGGCGGGCCGGCCCTCGCGGGACTCGCCGGCTCCCCGCGTGGCCTGACGGAGGCGCCGGCCGCCCGCCGCCGAGTGGGGGAATGCGAGGCGGGCCCGGCGCGCGCGGGCAGCAGCGGCCGCAGGGGCGCGCGGGGCACGGCGGCGCCGCGGCGTAGAGCTGTCCCGGCCGCCGCCCGCCCGCCCGCGCCCCCGCGCCCCCGCCTCGGCCCGCGCCCCCGCGCCCGTCCCCGCCCGCCCGCCGACGGCGCGGAGCATGCCCGCGGGGGCCCGGCCGCTCGCCCCGGGCCAGCTGGCGGCGGCGCGCGGGGCCGCGGGGCGCAGCCGGCCGGGCCGGGGCCGCGGGGCGGGCGCCTCCCCGGCGGCGTGAGGCGGCGGCGGCCCAGCGCCGAGGAGGACGGAGCCGACCGCGCCGGCCGGTGAGTGTCTCCGCCGCCCGCCCTGCCGGGCCGGCGCGGGCGGGGAGGGAGTGGCGCCGCGGGGGCCCCTCGGGGCGCCGGGCCGGGCGGGCGGGTGGCCGGATCGGGCGCGGCGCGGCGCGCGGATGCCCGCGTCTCCCGGGGCGAGCGGCCGCCGGCCGGGGGCAGGTGCGCGCCGGGCCTGCGGCCGCGGGAGGGGAGGGCAGGCGCGGCCCGAGGGAGCGGGGGCAGCGCTCGGGCCAGCCGCGCGGCCGGGGCCGGGGTGGGGGCCCGGGGAGACCCGGGAAAGGGCGCGCCGGGCGACCCCGCTGGAGGCAGGGCGGCCCCGCCAGCCCGAGCGCCCCTTCCTGCCGGGCCGAGGGGCTGCCCTGGCCCGGAGCCGCAGCTTCCTCCCCTGCCGGGCCTGCCGATCAGGGCCAGGGCTGCTGGGTGGGGGACGGGAGGAAACTTAGGGTCCTGCCCAGAACTGCGCCGACTCTCCCCCACCCCGGAGGCCCCGGCTGGCCCTCTGGGTAAGCAGCAGGGTGCTTGCCGCGCGGATGTCATTTCCAGGCAAGTCCTCCAGCTCTGTCCCCTTTGCTCGACTTGCTGAATTCTGGATTCCTCTTCCTGCACCCCTCCCCCACCCTGAAGTATGGCGGGTGTGGGGGGGCGGGGTTCTCCAGACTGGGGCCTGCGGGCTCTGCCCTCCAGAGCCGGGATTCGGCAAGGGAGACCTCCTGAGCATCTCTCGGTCCACTGCCTGCTCTCTCTCAGCCCCCGCCTGGGCCTGACGGTCCAGACCATGGACTTGGGCTTTTGGGGGGCAGACAGCCAATTGCCCCCTTCCTGGGACCCTCCCCTACCACCCTGGCCCCAGCTCTCTCCTCTGAACTCTCACTGACTTTATCCTTCTGTGTGATTCTTATCACCCACCTACCTTTTGTGTCTGCCTTATCTCCCCTCCTGGAGGAAGAGGAATTTGATTCATCAGCTGGGTCAGTGGCCGGTGCAGACGCCCCCCTCCCCCCCTCCCCGGACCCCAGCTTCCCTGGCTCCTGCTCCCATAGGGAGGAAAACATGGGGAGCGAGGAGGCGCTGGTCTTGTGGCCAGTGACCGGCTGAGTGACCGGGACAGGGCACGCTCTGCTCTGATGGAGGCCAGGCCTGTGCTCTGTGTGCTCTGGGCAGTGAGGCTGGCTGTGCCCGGGCGGCAGGAGGGTCAAGGAGGGACTGTGGGGGTCACAGCCTGGCTTTCCAGAACGTCTGTGGGAGCGCCACTGAGTCACTCGGTTTCCCTTGGCTTGGTGGGTGCTTATGGCATTGAAAGAAAACCCCTCGGTGGGTGAGAGACCCGTCAGCTTCTGGGCCCCCTCCTGCCACCGTCCCATCCCCCCCGCACCCCTCCAGCCCTCCCAAGCCCCAGAGCGTCTTCCAGGAGCTGGAATGCCCTTCCTTTCCCGCCTACTGGGACCACCCCAGTCCCATTCACCACACGGGGCAGCTGTTTACACGCGCCTCCCCTCATGGAGCGCCTGCTCCCAGAAGGTCGTTGCTGGGTCACATCTCTGTCCCCCAGGCCGGCGCCTGGTGGGTGCATGCTGGCGTGCGTTAGTGGGCAGTGAGAAGGTTGGACTGCGTGACCGCAAAGGACCCTGCTCGTCCCTCTGCTCGTCCATTCGCTGTCGGGGACGGGCTCTGCCTTCCTGTCGGGGAGCCTGTTTAAACCCAGGCGCGTGTTCTGACCAGCCGTCCTGTCTGGCCTGGGAAGAGCCCGTCACAGGCACCGGGCACTTACTGGTAGAGATTAGGAGAAGAAACTTCTGGTGCTTTGAGATCACAGCTTTGCAGCTTTGGGGACCTGTGGGGGAGCATGAGGGCTCTGATGAAAGGACAGGGTCCCCTGCTTCTAGCCGTGGGCTGGGGCGGGGGGGGGGTGGGGGGGCGTCTGGCGACCCGGCACCAGGCCGGGGTCAGTCTGCAGCGGCTGGTTACAAGCTCGTGCGCCCACCTCTCAGCCTTGCTCCCAGAGAGCCATCCCTTTTTAGGCAGCCCCCCGAAAAGCCAGCAGGGCCCTGCCTGGCGCCTCGATGCCCCGCAGTCAGTATGCAGCGTCTCTGAGGGAGCAATGTTTGTTTCGTCTTTCCTGGAAAGCCCTGGGGTTTATTGGTTACACCCGACCTGGGCGTATCCTCCTCTGGTTTGCTGTCAACCCAGAATTGGGGTATGGCCTCCTCTGGCTCGAGCCTCCTCACAGGGGCTCTTAGGGAAACTTTTAATTCTTGAAATTGGTATTAAAAAATCTTGAATATTTTAGCATCATTTTAAAAATTTTCTTTAAATGATAAACAACAACAACAAAAAAGATAAACCAATATAGGTAGATCTATTTACTGTTTCTCCCCCTCCCCCCATTTAACTGCGTTTATTTATTTATTTATTTCTTTTGAAAACTTTCTCTTAGGCCCGAGGGCCAGGCAGACTTTGCCTCCTCCTGGGAGATGGGGTTGCCTCCTCCTTTGATAATGAAAAGGAAAGTGGGGAAGGAAAACTTGTAACGTTCGCGGACTCTGGCCCAGTGCGTGCTGACCCCACTGCCTGTGCGTCCTTCCTCCGTCTTCCCAGGGAAGCGGCAGCTCTGCCCGAAGGCTCTGGGTTTGCACCCAGTTGGGCCCAATGCCACCCGTGAGGTCTTTCCAGCTGTCCCCCCTCCCTGGCCCACAGCGCTGTTCACTAGCAGCCGTGCTCCTGCGCGTGCTCATCTGCTCCTCTGGACTCTGCACGTTGCGTGCCGGTGCTCATCTAGCCACATTCTTTGTAAGTCATCACTGAAGGTTCCTGGAGATCTGGACAGGTAAGTGACTCCCATACAATAAGGAGCGTGGCGCCGAAACCCGGCCACCTGGAGTGTGGTTCAAGAGATCCCTCTGCAGAGAACCTGGGGCGTGTGTTAAAAGTTGCTTACACAGCAGGCAACGGAGTTCAAAAGGGGAGACACCCTTTCTGGGTAAGGCAGGCAGGGTTGACTTCCTGGAAGAGGTGGGATTGAATGGGTGTTGATAGTCAGAGTGTCTGTAAAGGTGTGTAGGATTCAGTGTCTCAGTCTGTGGTTCTGACAAAGGCCCAGCAGAGGGTCTGCTGGAGTGACAGGAGGGTCAGTCCAGAGGCGAAGTAGGGAGCTGGTGAAGCCTTTCCAGATTTTCTTGGGCCTGGGAACCTGGGGAGGAGGATGAGTCCTGCTGCGGATGAGCGCTGAAGCCCTAGGTACAGCTCAGTGTCTGCTCACCCCGGCACCATTGAGGCCAGCCAGGCAGCAGCCCTCTAAAATGCGCACAGTGACCCTGACTTTCATGCACCCCGCCAACACCAGGACAAACCCCTGCTCTAGCTTCAAGGCCAGAGACAGAGATTGCTGTCTGGGCCATCGCCTTCCCTCGGCTTGTCCTATTAACAACTGCCCTTGCCAGGGGATGAAAAGGAAATCCCCCCAAAAAGCCTTCCCATCACAGGCATCTCGAACCCCCAAGCTGCCACCTGGGGGGAGAACGGGAACCAGCATCTTCATGCCCTCTCGCTGCTGAAGCCCCACATCCTTCCAGGGCCTTCTCATAGCGCCCTGGGTCGTGGGGAGGGGTTGGGAGTTGGGGCGCAGGGAAAGATGGA